TAGCTTTAATTTAGGGGACGTAAATAAAACTAAAATCTCTATTCGTGCAATTATTATAAAATGAGTCACTTACTCATCGACGTGAGATCTAATGACAAAGACCCAAGTCCAGTTATATTTTTCACTTTTAAAATACTTATCTTTTTCCTTCCAAAACTTTCTATCACATAAATCTTTTCATCACTTCACGTTAATTGTGTTAATTAAAACTAAAGTACAATACGAATTTATTAAAGTATTATTTTTTTTGTTATATTACTAGAAATTTTAATGGCTAAATCTCAAATTTGATGGTATTATAATTAACAAGACAATCAACCTATTTAACAATTTTGCCTTTCAACAACAATGCCCTAAACGGAAGTATGCGTGTGGTCCTAATCTATGTAAATGATCAGCACTCCATTCAATTATAGACAATGGTTGATTTAATAATTACTTGGGCTATAAATCATACCGCAAATGGAATTTATTGAAGTGATTTTCAGTCTTATATAATTAATTTACGTTCAGAACAACATTGTGCAAGATTGAGGTACGTTTTATAATAAATGAAGATTATGCTTTTTATGTTAAAACTCGTTAAACTTAGCTTTGGAAGAACGTGAACGGCAGCGGCCACGTTTCCCAAATGTGGCACTTACGTAGCGACTTAAGTAATTGCAACCATTTGTACTCTCTAACAGTTAAAAACTCTAACATTGCATTTTAAATGAAAATATATTACAAAAGTGCATTTACAAACATAGTAAAAAAATAATTAAAATAACCAACGAAAACAAAAGTAATTAAAAATCACACACAATTTTATGAAAATGGACCTATCCTCATCATCAGCCTATCGGAACCCACTGCTGAGCTAAGGACTCTTGTCATATAGAGAAGGTTTGAGTATTTATAACCACGCTTGCTAAAGAAAAATTGGCGATTTCAATCTTATAATTTGAAATTATAAGTACAGATTTCTTCACGATGTTTTCCTTTATCGTTTGAATCTATAAATCTATAGATATATAAAATGAAAGTTCTGTAAAGACCTGTCTGTGAAAGCGACAAACAATAATGTAACTTATTTCTGACTAAATATGATTTGAGGGCAAATATCCTTTTGATGTCGTTAACTGTAGTAGTTATTTGTACCTGTAGTCAGATCAACAAAATATATTATATATTTTTTTTGTTTATCTCAAATATTATTCACTTCTATCACTTTAAAAGTAATTAGTATAAATGTTGATAAAAATCGAATGGTGCTTTTAATATCTTTTAACGTATTACATAATGAAAATCCGAATTCATTTCTTAATGTATCATTTGAACATTTTTATCATTTATTGCTGTTTTGGGAGACTTTTTTCAACAAAGCGTTGATAGCTTCATGAATAAAATTATTATGAAAATGGTTTCTTTAAAAAAAAATTATTCCAGAAAAATATAATATAAGTACATAAACAAGTTGTACTAGTTGATTAATCTTCTATATATATAAAAATGGATTGCTGTTCCTTAGTCTCGCTAAAACTCGAGAACAGCTGAACCGATTTGGCTAATTTTAGTCTTGAAATACTTCTGGAAGTCCAGGGAAGGTTTAAAAGGTGAGAAAAATTGGAATAATTGCCGGGAAAACCCTAAAAACATCCCTTTTCTATTTCCCATACAAACGTTTTTTTTGACATTAGATTTGACAACTAACTTATATGTCAATTCTGTTTGATTGAAACAGGTAAAACCTGATTATTTATGGCCTGTAAGACGGAATAGAGTTCGCCTGGTCAGCTATACCTACATATATTACTCTTGACCAAACTAACGCGGACGAAGTCGCGGGCAAAAACTAGTATTATATATTTTTGTTCTTTATTTCATTCATGACTTATGACATTTTAGTATATAATGTATCTTTACTATATTTTACTGCACTCAACTTTCTTGTCTCGATATGTCATATAAAAAGTGAATATACCATTTTTTTACTATTACATTTTGTACCAGTTGTGTCATACTTATTTTCCTTTCAATGACCTACTGCAGGAAAATATATATATTATCAGAATAAACTTCACACATATTTTTTTAATTTGGCTAGAATGAAAAACTGGAAATAATTTGAAATTCAGGTATTTTTTTTAATATTTATTACAATGACAAACTAATCACATGTTATGATATATGCCATCTCTAATTTGTAAATAATGTCATGTTGTTGATAATACTGAAGAAATATTTAATTATATATTCTCTACCAATAAGTAAAGTACTGTGATGAGTCAATCGAAGAATACTCATCATAAACCGCGAACAAAGGTATGAGAAGTATACTAACTATAGAGGCCAATTACGACAGAACAACTGAAATAATACATATCATGAAAAGACCTTATGCAACTTGACAATCTTATACTCGATACATACCAAGGAAGGTTACGCACGATATCGTGAATTCAGAATTAGGTACTATCAGTACCTTGTGACGGTTTTCTTATAATTACCATAACTTAACAATGAAACTGATGACCCAGAAAGTCGACAACGAAACAACATTACTGGAGAGTAAACTTAAGATACTATTATAATGTGACCGGGAACTGCCGTTTCCTCCCATTTATAAACTCTAAGAATAAAATTATCAAGAAAAAGACGAGCACTGTAAAGAATTTCATATCATAACTAGAAAGTAACAGTCGAAACATTGAAAATACAATAAAATACAAATTGGGCAGACACAATTCAAATACTGGTGACTTATCGAAAATCAGTACTGTGCAGTATTTCAATAACAAATATTGTATATACCTCTCATTTGATGCTTATAGTAGCAGCTGTGAAATACAATATTATTTTTCCATTTTTCCTCTTAATTCTTTAAGCAATGCTAAGTATGTTTTGGTGTGAGCTTTTAAAAGACATTTTTTAAATCCAAAATAAAAATTACTAGTAGTTTAATGTAGTATAAATTGAAAAAGATAATAAGAGAAAACATAATTATAATTTAACGAGTTAAATTAAATAATCTACAACATTTAATGAAAATAGGTAATAATAATATTAGCATTTAAGTAATAATACTTAAATGCTAAAATTCTATATCAGAAATTGTATGCATCTAATTATTAACCAAATAATAGATTAAAAACTGTTAATTATTTAAAGTAAATAGATATTTTTTACATTAAACAGATTTAGCTATAGTATAGACACTGGAAGGACATGGCCTTAGTCGTGACGTCAGAGTGTAAGCGTTATGTGATACGAGATTGTACGGATAGCTCAATATTTTTGGTACTAAAACACCGACAGGGACTAGCTCCAAATTAATTACCACTGGATCAGACAGGTATTCACTGACATTGTGCAAAAAGGTTTTATCATTTTAGAATATAGAATTTTATGTTTAAAAATCATAAAAATTTTGGTTAATATGTTTTTTTAATAAAAACCGTAAACTTTAATTATGATCTATAATAATATATTCCGTCACCTCTCCTAAAATTTTTGAAAACTTCACAATAAGCTATTGATAATAATTTACTAATCAATGATACGTTATTAATAGATTATTATTTATATAAGACAAAAATTGATTCAAATATTTAAAAAATAAATAAAAGTACAACATTATAATATATCTATTATACTCCACTTAAAATTTCTCCGCATATATTTAAATTATGTTCATTTTAAATTAATGTACCTATAATAAATATTGCTTTAATAAATTGCAAACCTTACAACTAACATAATTGTTATATGATGTGATGCTATATTTTATAATAAAATTATCTTTTATGAATACTACATAGTTAAACAAGTGAAATTGTTATATAAGCACTTAATTGTGATATGATTTCTTTTAACAAAATATGTATTAACATAGTATATTCAAATATTCCTGAACCAAAATTCTTGAAATTTTCAATATCTTATTTTATTTTGTTTTAGAGTAATATTGACACTACTAAAACAAAATGTACTAATACTATCTTTCTTGTATATAAAGATATACTTGTAGTTTGACATTACAATACTACATAGCAACAAAATCAAACAAATATAAATTTCTCGTTTATAAGACAAGTTGAAGAGTATTATATGTGAAAACAAATTACAAAACCAGGGATAGATAGAATCTGAACTTGGAGATGAACGAGTTAAAAGTTTTACAAGCGATTTTAACTTTAAAACTGGCATTACAATTCCACTTTGAGATAACAAAGAGCATTGTACATATAACCTGCGCTTTTTAACTTCATTTTAATTTAAAAACTACATATATTAATATTGCACGAGTAAAGGCTACACTATATGTATATATAATATCGCTGTTTCCACAATTTATGAAGCTTCTATAACCTTACAACAAGCTCCACCTCCAAAGTAAATATAGAAAGTGTCGTGTTCTTCATTCGTAAATCGCGAAGAAGCCACCATATATGTACATATTATGTTACAATTCCTTTTGTCGCCAATACTTCATTAATTGTTGCAGTAATTAAGATCCCGTAAATTTTTAACAAATTCTAAATATATTAATAATTATTTTTAGCATTTGAATAATATCGAGCCGGAAACTTAATATTTTAATCATTAAAAATAAGCACTTTATCAATAAGATTATGTGTCTTTACAGATACATTGCATTTGGAAAACTTTAATATGGGACTCAAAATTTTTCTTTTAAAGACGCTTTACATATCATAATCATTTCCATGTACATGTTGCTATATGCCAAAAATCTTAAAAATATAAGATAATCATATGTTATTATGTAAAACGCGGTCGTTATATATCTTTTTACTTTTTTATTTTAAGACGAGAGTGCTGGACTGTCATTTCACTATTAAAATATACGAGAAAGAAAGGAAATGAAGTCGTGAGTGATGAACGCACTATCACAAGTATAGTGTAAATTAACTCAACAGCAGATCACCTCTTGGAATATTTAGAAGCAATTTTACGAAAGCGACCAAAAAATTTGGCACAACTTATTTTCCTGTTGTTGGTTGGTCAATCAGTTGGTCGACCAGTTGGTCGATCAGTTGGACGATCAGTTGGTCGATCAGTTGGACGATCAGTTGGTCGACCAGTTGGACGATCAGTTGGTCGATCAGTTGGTCGATCAGTTGGACGATCAGTTGGTCGATCAGTTGGTCGATCAGTTGGTCGATCAGTTGGACGATCAGTTGGTCGATCAGTTGGTCGATCAGTTGGTCGATCAGTTGGACGATCAGTTGGTCGATCAGTTGGACGATCAGTTGGTCGATCAGTTGGTCGATCAGTTGGTCGATCAGTTGGTCGATCAGTTGGTCGATCAGTTGGTCGACCAGTTGGACGATCAGTTGGTCGATCAGTTGGTCGACCAGTTGGTCGATCAGTTGGTCGATCAGTTGGTCGATCAGTTGGTCGATCAGTTGGACGATCAGTTGGACGATCAGTTGGACGATCAGTTGGACGATCAGTTGGACGATCAGTTGGTCGATCAGTTGGACGATCAGTTGGACGATCAGTTGGTCGATCAGTTGGATGATCAGTTGCGCGCGTCGAAGTCAGCAGTGTGCGAACATGCATTGGACAAACCAGGCCATTACATTAGATTTGATAAACCACAGATCCTCGCTCGTGAAGACAGATATATACCAAGGTTAATCCGCGAGGCTATTGAAATTAAAAAACACCCCAATTTCAATAGAGAAGATGGCTGGAACCTATCAAACACCTGGGATCCTCTTCTTAAAAATATAAAATCCCATGTCCGTGACCACACCGCAGGACCTCGAGACACCGTGAGCGGATTTTGCCGGCATCCAGAGCGGTACGCAAGACAATTAAGAAATCGATGGCGGTAGGAGATAAAATGACCAGACCAACTGACAGACACTCACATCTCGTCTGCCCGTGATCACGGTTGTTGAAAAGTAGCCGAAACGTCGGGAGTATGTAGTTTCTAAACAAAAATAAAACGCGAAGTAAAATCCGAAAATATTAGTTTTCTTTTAAACAGCGGAACTCGTTTTCCTAGACAGCGCGAAATTTATGTGATGCAAAACAAAATCAAAAATGAAAAAAACATATGAATTACGGTTTTCAAAAAATAAATGACTAGGTAAATAACTTTATAAATTTGAAATTGGAATTCCTAATCAAACATATCCTATATTTGATATATTTGACAACAAAGTTGCCAGTACGACAAAACCCCAGTTTCATATGTAGGGACCTAATATAAAAGTTTCGTTTGAGTATCGTTATTTTAAATATTGCTCTATGTGTATTTTTCAAAGGGTACTTCTTTGTTCGTGTGATTTGTATTGAATGTAATAAAAAGATCCTTATTCAGTATGTGTAAAGTTGAAATTTTTAAAAATATTTCTTAAGTACAGCCCATATATATTTTTAGCTTAGCAGACGTATGACAGATAAATGTATTATATAAATGTATGTAGGGTATATATTTATAAAACGGAAGTAAAAATCCTATGAACAAATATTCAATCAGTAAACTTCTGTGTCACTAAACGGATTTATTAATATTTTCTTTTCTATGTGAAAATATTATATTTTACAATAAAAATAATGCATTATAATATTATATGGGCCCTACAAATATTCACTTTGATATTACAATATTATTATCTAATTTTACTTTTAAATATATAGAATTAATCATTTTGATCTAAGATAAAACATCTTTTCTTGAAATCCTTGAATCATTTTACGAAATTATTTATGCGAAACTTCTTCAATAGTTTTAAGTAATAATGAAGTTTTAGGATTATTTGATTTGTCCATTGTACAGGCTAAGAAATTCCTCAATATTATAATTATTCATTGTAAAAATATTCTAAAGTTAGCCACTAAAGTTTGTACATATATAAGATATTATTGAAAATTCAATAAAAAACAATTTGTAATCAATTTTTATTTTTTGTATTTTTAAATATTTTTCCTAAATAAATCAAATATAATTTCTGCATGTCGAATCTAAAAGAAAATATTTAAGGTCATATTGGTAAAAAAATACATCTTTATTATATTTTATAGCCTTTTTTGTCATATTATCCATTTATTAAGATTTTCACCTCTTTGTTCTGTTTGTTTTGTCGGTCGTGGAGTTTCCTATAAAGGTAAAAAACATAACATTCCAGTCGGCTTTCCAAATTTGTGATAGTCAGTTTGTCATTATCTAAATTGTTCTTACCGTGCCATTTTCCAGAAGCTACGTGGTAATTTTTTTATATACATATATCGAAGATTGGGACCGGACTTAGTATAAGCGTAACTATGAATTCGAGTGGTGACATCTTTTGTAGCCCGATCAATATAATCTTAATGAATGTGGTACAAAGGATTTTAAGATATCTCATAAACTAGAAAAACAACAAAAAAATACAAGACTTAACTTACAGGAAATTTAAATAAAATGTCCCCTTAATGTTAAATAGGAAATAAAAATTTTTAAAATAGAAATAAGTGAAAAATTGTCACAAATTTACCTTTGGGTGTTATAACTTTGTTTTCGGGACATTTAAGAATAAAGTAACGACAGAACAAACTTAAAGAGACTTTTTCAACAAATATTTTTCTCGACAAAGTTGTTTAAATTCATTTACTTATTTTGGTTTTATAGGACTCTGAAGGTAACAAATTTCTTGTACACGATCAAAATGAACGATGAAACTTTGTTGTCTATTGTCTTATTTAATTGAAAATGACTTAATTTTCTTTATATTTTATTATTTTTTCTTTTCATTTATTTTATTTGGTTAGGTCGAGAGAGCAGCTAAGACGTTGACGGCGAGCGTTTAACGTGCGTTAAATAGGGGCCTCATAAACTTACACCTTGATCGTAAGTCCCGGATACAACTAAAGTCCCTCATCCTACAACGCGATAAACCCAGCACCCGGGCTGTAGTCTATGGAATATTGAGAAGTTTCATATGTGTCTAAATTGGGTTCTGTAGGATCGTTTTTAACGTGATTTTTCTGACTTATATTAATCCAATGAAACCTTCTATTATGTAGATATTTATGGTGCAGGCGGTGGTTCAGGATATTATATAATTGCGTAGGTGGATATAAAAGAAGTTACCAGTGGTATCATTTTAATCAATTAATCTAAAAATTAATTTTATACAATTATTTTTCGATATATCCTGGATTTTATAGCATAATGGTAGTGACCATACTTAAGGCAAAGTGCCAAAAATGACAAATATGCCCCATTAATTGAGTGTTCTAGTGTACACTCAAAGGATAAACAAAAACTACATGCATGTTTTATTGTACAAAAAGTCAACAAGGAAATTATTGTTCACTTATTAAAATACATTTATATCTTATAAATAATTGTTTTCAAAATTTAAATATATTAGGCAATAACAATTGTTTAGATATACATACATTATATAGGCCAAATCCAAGTATATTTTACATAGGAATTTAAATAATAATACTGATGTTTATTTTCTCTTTCTGGGAAAAGTTTATAACAAAACCAACGAATAGTCGTCCGTGTTCCTTGTATGTAATTAAAAGGCTCAAAGACTCGAAGATAGGAGACGAGTTTGTACTAGTAGAATTTTGTCTTGACTGGCTCTCTTTATATTTCTAATTGGGTCGGCAGTTTTATTAAATTTGTAATTTATTGTAACCTAAATTCTAGATCATCAAATAGGTATATGACCCATTATTCATGATACATTAACGTTTAAATACCGGTGATAAAGTAAAAATGTAAACTCGTATTGAGGTTGCAAGTGTTCATCAAATAATAGTCATATTGAAATTAAACATTAAATGTCTCATATTCAAGGTTAAATGATTAAAATAAAAGTCGATTATAATCAGAACAGTATTTTATTACAAAAAACTTACAAATAATTCCTTTATTTCCTGTCATGTCAGCTCTTAGGCTCAACATTTACTCTACAATTTCCTTCATCAATACTTAAGTATTATTTATCTCATTACGACTACATATTTTAAGAAACCCTAATTACGTCCATCCGTGCCGATATCTTTACCATCAAATAAACGGTGCTATAAAATATTTATTACTTATCTCCTCTACAGATAATAAAATTAACAAACATTTCAAACGCATCCATTTTCACTTACATAAAAACTCATCCTCCTTACACGTTATAAAAACTTCATGAAAATTGTGGCTGTCAACTTAGAAAACTAGTTAATTTTAATAAAAATAAAAAATATATATACGTATCCTCGTTACAATAACACTGTAACCAGTCACCTATAAAAGTAACCTTAATGAAAAAATAATAAATGAAACATTTAACATTAAATTACTGAAACGTTAATTCATATAAAGATATAATAATATAGAAAACTTATAACAGTACTGGATATTCAAATTGACGATCGCCATTAATCTACTTATTATTATAACGCGAACACATCTCCTTGCCATCACGGATCAAATTCTATTTGAATCTCAGTCTTATAAAGTCTGTACCGTATTAAACACATAACAGTTCACTGTTCGATCGCTAGATGGCGTTCGACGATCATTTCTTTTTTTCTTTCTTCCGCGGTTTTTCACAACCACGTACTTAGCTCCTTGACGGGGCCCTCCAGGCCTTGATAGTGAAGGCCTACAGCTGTGTGTCAGAGGCCTGCCACAGGTTGGACGGCAGGGTGTCGTAGTGAGAGGGAACAGTTACTAGAGCTTCGTCGGGCGTGCGGTTGATTGAACAGTTCTAGAAAATAATAAGACGATATAAACATTACTATGTAAATATAACTACAACATTGGATTATGCAAAAGTATCAAGTAAATATATATAGTGAGTAGTACATAGTGTTTTTCAAATTTATACATATATAAATGACCGGACGAACTCTGTTCCTACTTAGAGAAAATGAATAGATTTTAGTAAGTGATTATTTTTCTTTTCAGTTGAATGGAATGAAAAATTTCATATGTTGGTATCCTGGTTTTCAGCCAAATACGTACAGAGGTTCTTATGTTATAAATAGTTGAACTAACATTACTTTCTTTTATAAAGACAGATAGATTATACATATGAGTATAATGAAATTGCATCATATAATTTTCGGACAATAAAAAACACACATCTAAATAATCGGTAAAATCATATAACCATCAAGAAATATCTGGTTTGAACCGGTTAATATTAAAAAAAATCTAAAAAAATAATATGTTGTATAACAAAGTTTATGTTATATAAGTTGTCTAAACACAACGTAATAAGGTTTTATATCGCTGTGTTTTATCGAGAGCGTTATCATTACAAATATTAGTCAACTAATCGGGGACTTATTTCAAGAGCCGTGTTTTATAATGTACTATGATTATCTCTATTTATCTATTTATTGTCCTTAATCCTATTTATGTACTAATTCTACGCGTTTTTGGTATAGTTTTAGGTAAATTTATTTCAACGAACGAACCGAACCGAACGAACCTAGTTCTATCCAGTTACAGCGAACTAGATAACTGAACTATTGCGTCATTGGTAACTAAGTACTACGCATTATATTTTGAATTGTCTTTTCGGTGATAGATTTTTTATATGGAATACAGTTCAAAGTACACAAAACACAAGTTCGATTAAATTATCAATGATAATAATAACATAAACTAGTTTTTATCCGCAACTACGTCTGCGTTAGTTTAAAAATTAGAAATGTATAAGGGACCAGATTAAAGATAGTAGATAAGAAGATTTGATCAACTTATTGTTTTTTCTTTTTCAATCGGATGAAAAGTTATGTCCTTTCTATATTCTAAGCTATCTCTCCACAAATTTTCATCCAATCCCGTACAGCCGTTCTTAATTACAAATAGTGTAATTAACACGACTTTCTTTTATATATAAAGATATTAATATATATAATATTATAATTACTTTAGGTTGGACCCTGTGTGTGTCGACACAGTCGATGGGCATCTTAATCATTTCGATGTTGTATTTGTAGCCGTAGGAAGTCAGTTTGACGATGGTGTGCAACGGAACATTCATATATGGTAGCTCATCTGGAATGAAACAACAAATATTAATAGATATTATTTTTTTTATCATAGACAATATAGCGAACATAGATAAAAAATGTTATAATCTATAACGGATATTAGTATAGATTAATTATTATCATGATTAGTATCTCGCACGGGTCTTGTAGACTCAAATTTGTATTAGATTTTCTTTTCTGAGAGAGATATTCTACTATAGAACATGTTTTTATAGATATATTGAATATTGTTCATTTCACCAATCAAAGAAACTGTATATTCTCTGCTTAAACTCTCTAATATAATAAATATTGCTACACCCTTTAATGTGATCAATCCAGGATAAAATTATATTTAGGTGTGTGTAGTAAATAAATTTTTGGACATTTTATATCCAACTAGCTTTCCGCCCGCAGCTTCGCTCGCGTGGAGTTCGGTTATATCGCGTTTCCAAGAAAACCTTTCAAAAATCTGTGATAAACACTATCCTATGTTCTTTCTCAAGGTCAACTCTATCTCTGTACCAAATTTCATTAAAATCAGTTCAGTGGTTTAGGCGTGAAAGCGTAACAGACAGACAGACATAGTTACTTTCGCATTTATAATATAAGTAGGTTTCCCTACTAGTAGGGATGGTCTTATATGTCAATATGTTTTTCATTAGCAATGAAGGAAAATGTTTCAAACGACATGTTTGGCCCTAGTCCAATAAGCCAAGTGTAGTACGATTTCCTCATTTCCAATTCTCTGAACTCTTTATTATCTGGGTTAACATGAGTGATGAGTGTGATGCGTCATGTAGCCATATATAGAACATCTAGATTATTCTCATCATATTTATCATATCATATATCTATAATTAATACATCCTTGATATTACTTTCTTTTCTAGATTATATATTTATTTGAATTTGATTAAGTTTAAGCTTTTATTCTTTAGACAGAATTCTTCTATAATATTATAGTCAGAATCTTTATTCAATTACTATAATATTCTCTAATAACTTCTCTTAACCTATTATGCTTCTATAATGTAAACTCACAAAGTAAAATTAATTAAGCTTGTATTTCTTTTGACAGAATTCTTCTACAATATTATAGTCAGAATCTTAATACAATGACTTAGTATCATAATATTCTCTCATAACTTGTCTAAACCTAAGGCAGACCCTGGCTAATTTGGGAAATTTCCAGGAAGTACTTGTCTAAATCTATTATTTAATTACTAACCAAGCTTAGCGTCCAGGAAGTATCCCAGCATGCATCTCAACACCGCTTGATGTCCAACTACAACTACGTTATGTTCTTCTTGCAAAGCAGCTAACACAGGTCGTAGTCTAGTCATAATATCGATGTACGACTCGCCCCAAGGATATCTATACCGCAGCTTGTCTTGATCCCTCCACGCAAACTCCTGAGGGAAACGCTCTTGCATCTCTTCGTATGTCAAACCCTCGCATATACCCTGGAAATTATTAAAATCACAATGAGATATAACATTTTCAAGAATTTGTGAATTTAAATGAAACTAATATTTTTCGAATGTATTACTCGACTACATACTCCTGATGTTTCGGCTACTTTTCAGCATGATTACGGTATATCTAATGTATAAATGATCACATTTATATATCGCAGTATAGATTGATAGTAGTTTTTTTGGATAGTGTAAGTTTAAATTTTATAGTGTATTGTAGTGAAACTTCTTATGCAACTTCAAGCGAGGCTGCGTTAAACGTTTAACGCTCTTGGGAGGGGATAAAGAGACATGTTGGCAATCAAGTGTGACTTGTTAGTAATGTTAATAAAGTTTGTCTTACAAAAAATACTAGAAATTCCTTAAAAATCTATTTCTACTTGTTTTTGTTTTCGTACCAACATTACGAGACTCCACGCTAAATTATTTTCATTATAAGTTTGTTGTTCTTTTAAACAGAAAGTATATAGGAGATTTGAGATACTTTATAGAATGAAAATTGGACATCAGATTTTTGTATGAGGTAGTCACTTAAATATTATTCTGGGGTTTGAACTTATATTATTCACCGTAAGTCATTCTAGTTCTAAAACGTAACGTGACCCAGATTATAGATGTCGCTGCCACACACAGGACATTTCTGTGTGACCCTAATTCCGAAATCATTGCAAAAGAAGTCGCGAACAATAACACGTCTTTCATATTTGTTTGTTTTTTCTTCAATATTGTATTACATATATCCATAAAAATATACTTTGTAGTTTATTCAAAATCATTATTATTCATTTCTACAAATCTTCATTTCTAATACAAATGTATGGAGCTTTTAGATATATAAATCCTGTAATGAACGGTGTTTATGTATCGTTAAATTGATAGTTTCTGCGAAGTGTTTGTGGGACGTGGATGCAAACAGAAATATTACATAAATTCATGATACACCTTGCGATTTTGCCAATTGGCCGAACGCGGACATCTTAGAGTGAATGAACCAAGATATTTTCGTTCCCAATGTCACAATGACCGTTATTGCGTTGATAGAAATATATTTAGATGGATTTAAACAATTAACCTTTCCACGTTATAAGTATTAAATTTAAAAATACTCAATGACATAACAATTGGTGTCTATTTTTGGCGGGAAAGTGTAAATTGTTTAAACCTGTCAAGATTTTTATAAAAATGGCGGCTATCGATCATGCGACAGTTGACATGTTAACATGTATTATGTGAAATAAACAGAAGATGTTTTTTCTTTTACTTTTGCAACATTCCAAGACAAAAATTCTATTTAAGTTACCTCTTTTCAAGTAAAAATTACAATAGGTACAGTTATAAAAAAAGTCAAGAAAAATTTATAATCTTTAAAATAAAGTTGATATTAGAAAAAATAAATTCTGAACGCCTTTTCTTTAATAAGTACGTAATTGCTTTTTTCTTGTTTTACTTATTCAATATGATTTTTTATTTCGTTTACAAGTCATGTGAGTTTATTAATTACTTTTATATCTTTTGATAATATCAGGAAAATCATAATAACAATTAAATTAAAGGGCTTGTCGTTAATCGGTTGTTGTGTGAAGATTTATTTGTTTTCAAAGTAATTTCATATTGTTTTGATTTCCTTACTCATGTTGTCAACCTTCATGCTAAATTTACTAATCTTTTGTTCCTGACTTTGTTTGCATTTCAGTATGCTTAGCACGAGAATGCATTGTATTAATACATATAGAATATGTCCGTTTCTTATTTAATAATCTATATTATTTCTATAACGCGAAGATTTATATATGAAAAACTGTTAACGCTCCTTATTTAGTTTCCCGATACAAACTTGCGTTAAGGATAAAGGAATCGCTTTAAATTGGATAATATTATTTTAGAACTTTTATATGTTAAAGAACAGGATAAATATTATACTATTATTGTACATATTTATATAAATTTAATGTTTATAGTAATATTTGTTATAATCTATGAATCTTATCGTATGTTTAAAAATATCGTATGATTGAGTGTTCAAAGTAAGGTGACATCACGTTGAAAAACAATAACACCGCTAATATCAATACGGGAAGTATTGTTCTATTGATAACACTGACACGATAATAACTAACTTCACACCCTCTTAAATAAATATTATTTAAATGTCTTAGAAATATCAATTGAAGAGTATATTAAAGTATATTTATATGATTCAATTTACTGGATAAAATGAATACAAATTGCAGTATATGAAAAGAAATTTCTCAGAATTGGATGTATTCACCGTGCGGGTGCCGGGTCCATCGTTGTAGTGAGAGGAGCTTCAACAGTGCCTGGGACTTGCGACCCAGGTGTAGGTTTAAGGGTCCCAATATAACGCGAGTTAAACGCTCACCTACACTATCCAAGCCCCTCTCTCTACCTAACCAAATTAGAAAATAACCTAATAGGAATGCTTTCGAAGTACGTTCCAAGAATTATAGATTTTTTTTCTTTGCCCTATTTTATTAAATTACTCTGATCTGTGAGAGTCAATGATAAAATTTTAGCAATGCTGGCGACCAATCATGAATTCAGGTCCACCATTTTAATGCTAACGGGATGCAAAAATGTCCTATGTGCAACCTCTCGTTCTGCATTTCTAAGTTATATATTAGTTATTATACTTGTGTGTATGTATATAGGTATATGTATATGTGTGAGTTCGTGTACGCGTTTATATTTGTGTGTTTGTATCGTGTGTATACGTGTTTGTATGTTCATGTACGCGTGTATGTGTGTATATGTGTGTACTAACCGCATCCAATTCATTGAGCGCCCGTACAGCCCTCTTGGGCGCGTGTATGCCAGCAGCTGTCTGTTTAGTCCTCCTCAGTTCGGAGGTCCATACAGCGACAGGCTCCACGTCCGCCAGTGAGTTGAAGTGTTCAGCTAGAGCGAGGGCGTATCTCTCCCCGCGAGGAGAGAGGGCCGCGTCACCACCGATACGACCCAACACGTTGTATTCACTCTCACCGTGCTAATAGAACAGATATATACAGATATATACTAATATATAATATATAATATAATATAATGTATATATGGTGAACTAGTTTTTTACCGCGACTTCTTCCGCATTTACGCAAAAGTCTAGGATAAAAACTATCCTATGTTCTTTCTCAAGATAAACTCTATATCTGTACCAAATTTCATTCAAATCAGTTCAGTGGTTTAGGCGTGAAATCGTAACAGACAGACAGATAGAGTTACTTTCGCATTTATAATATTATACTTAGTAGGAATAAAAAAGAAAAAAACACTAATTCCTACAAGCAAGATGGCGGCTAATGACGTCATAGATTAAACAAACCATATTTGGTAGTCACATGCTTTTTGCTGCATAAACAATTAACAACCCATATTACATATATCCACTCAAATAAAATTTCCGCAAACATAATAAAGTTTTTATAAGCGCAAATAATGTTAGACTAACGAGAATTAATATATAAATACCAGTTAAAGATTTATTTGTTATATAAATACAGCGATTTGTTATTTTAATGTGCGGACGCGATAGCTCATTCGTTATAATGACCGAATTATTTGAAGTCCCAAGTTTGAATTCAATAGTAATATTTATAAAGTAGATATAATATGTTTAGGGAGCACACATTTATTTAGAACCGAACTTTAATCGATCGAATACGAAGACGTTGAAGAGATGACATTTGGTTAGTCCTCTTTTGCGCGGCAAAATATGTGTCGACGCATTTATCGTGTTTTGTTTTAAGATAATAATTAGTTAAAACTCTATAAGACAAGTTTGATCCAGTTAACGTTTGATTTGTTATCTAGTAGTTGTAGGTTTATAGATAACTATATATTTTTGAATGATTTTGTTTCAGATTGATTCTTAATGTTCAGCGTTATTTCCATTAATCTAAATTATGGTTGAAGCCAGTATTTATTGTTTATATAAACAAATTGATACTTAAATTTTGCCATTACAAAATTAAATGGTCCAGTATTATAATTTATCATCATCATCAATCTATCAAAGCCCACAGCTGAGCAAAGGACTATCACATTGAGAAGATAATCTATACTAATATTATAAAGCTGAAGAATTTGTTTGTTTGTTTGTTTGAAAGCGCTAATCTCTGAAACTACTGGTTCGAATTGAATAATTCTTTTTGTATTGGATAGTCCAGTTATCGAGGAAGGCTGTGGGCTATATAACATCACGCTACGACCAAAAGGAGCAAAGATATAGTGGTAAATGTGTAAAAAACGGGAGAAATTATTTCATCTTTGAAGCCTTCCGTTGCGTGCGCCGTGAAAACGGCTCAAGATAAACAAAAATTATGTATTAAAGAATAATAGCTCTTTTTATGATCTAAAAAACAGTCCGCGACAGTATATGTCTATCTTTTAAGATTAATTCACAAAAACCGTTTTTATGGTACCTAATTTGGTCGAAATAATTTGTTTAAAAAATAGGTTTTATCCTGAAAATTCTACGGGAACTGGACCATTGCGAAAACCCCGCAAGAACGGGAACTATGTGGGAAGAACCAAAAATCTGCCGGAAGTCACTATTCCAGGCGGACGAAGTCGCGGCAAAAGCTAGTTAATTATAAACATCATAAATATAATTTTAAGAATTATAGTACATATATTATAATTAGTATGACACAGATGGCGCCACTTGTATCAATAGTAGATTATTATATCAACTTACCCTAGTGAAATATATAGTTTGTGGCATGGTCCTCATTCCTGATAAGTATCCTAATATCCCAGATTCCTTCTGTCCCGATACTCTATGTGCGGTCACAGTTTCCCCCATATTCTCGACCCTCACGAAGCTAATGTTTTCTATAGCCGCGTCTATCAACTCATATTGTCGCATGTAATGCTCGAGTTTCTTTCTCAAATCATCAATAGCTTCTTCCTCACTCATAGTCTTGTAATCCGCGGAGTAGTGTAATATTTCTATGATATTCCTTTCTAACAACTGCTGGTCTTCACAGACGCATTCAATGAATAGGATTCTGAAGCCCATGTCGGTAATGCCTTCGTTCAACTCCCGGCGTTGCTCCCTCGTTATGTTGGTTCCATCGAAAATCTGAAGCAAAATCGAGTATGATCTTGGTGTATAGGAAATTATAGTGATAATAAGCAAAGTTCGCAGACCCTGGCTAAAGCTGGGAAATTGCCAGAAAGAAGCAAAGTACTACCTATGAAAGTGAAAATTTAAATTCATTCGCTGTCCAAAAAAAATCTTTTATTTAGGCTGTTACGGGTGTAACAATTGTAATAGGAAGTAAGCGGCCTATAGTTCAAGGATTTTTAATTTGCCTTTCTATTTTATCTTCTACATATGTATATAAAAATAGATTGCTGTTCCTTAGTCTCGCTAAAACTCGAGAACGGCTGAACCGCTTTGGCTAATTTTAGTCTTGAAATACTTCTGGAAGCCCAGGGAAGGTTTAAAAGGTGAAAAAAATTGGAATAATTGCCGGGAAAACCCTAAAAACAGCCGTTTTCTATTTCCCATACAAACGAGTTTTTTGACATTAGACTTGACAACTCACTAAAATGTCAATCATTTTGTTCGATTGAAACAGGAGAAATTTAATAAATACCAATACCGGGTTATTGAAGACGGAATAGAGTTTGCCCGGTCAGCTATACCTATATTACTAATGACGAAATTAACGCGGACGAAGTCGCGGGCAAAAACTAGTTATTAATATATTTAGCTTGTGTGTTTTGGCGATATCTCAGAATGGCGCTAATAGTGTTAGTCTCAGATATTTGTATTGTTCAATTCATATAGCGATATTTTACTGCTTTTTTCCTAGTTGTTTTATGAAATTATCCTACTAATATTATAATTGCGAAAGTTTGTGAGTGTGTGTGTATGTTACTTCTTCACTCTCAAACGGCTGAACCGATTGTGATAAAATTTTGTATACACGAAGCTGACGTCCAGGAATAACGCATAGGCTACTTTACATCCCGGTAATCCCGGAAATCATAATATATTTAAGTTCCTTACAGCCACGCTATTTCCTTCCTTAAGCCAGAGCACCGCATCTTGAACCGCCTCGTGGGCGCTCTGCCTCCTAATGGCGGATCCTTGCTGGTGATCAGCCCGGAAGATATCATGACTGCCGTACAACGCCATGTGACGGCGACGGTACTCGCTACAGTCGAACACTGCCACAGATTATAATAATATATTCATTTTATTCATAAAAACTTTTTTCAGAAACCACGATTTCATTATCTGTGGCAGCAAAATTTTGAGAATCATCAAATCATAAATTTAACTGATATCTCTATATATGGGAATAATTATACATAAAAAAATAACGTTATTCAAGGTTAGTTTACAATAATAACTCCGTTTAACAACTAGCAGTTTGATAAAGATATCACGACTATCATATTTAAGGGCATTATTGTGTAATCGTGATGGATATATTAAAAACATAGATAATTCATTAATAAAATAACAATAACCTAAAAGTCATGATTACATAAAAAAAATTAGTTTATATGACATTTAAAGAGACTAACAAAACCTTGTAATGAAAACTGATACGAATGTCTCTATTACTGTTTATATAAATGATTGATACAAGACAACCTAGAGCTACATATAAGTAACGCTAGATTACCAACTGTTCAACCAGGTCAAGGCGTAACAATAAACTTATCTGTTAGCTATCTCATGTCTCTAAATAGTCTCATTTAGTTGTACGTAATAACCATATCTATATATACCTATACAAAAGCTGACGAAACATTAAAAACCATAAAATGTTCTAGATAAAAAAAAGAATAACAAATAATAATATCGTATGTTATCTAAAGTTATTATTTCAATGATCATAAACATGTTACGTATTTATTACTTTAATATTTTATTTATAATTTAATTATTAAGAGGTTATTGACCTTTGATATTCATTAAATTTATTTCGTCATGTGTGAGTAATAACTGTTTGTCATGCTATATTAAAACTTTTTCATACCTTTAGTGCTTTCTCCATTCCAGTTGAGATGTCTGGAAAGGCGATGTGCCAGTTGACTTTTACCGCGGGCTGGCAAACCCACCAGTGCAATCAATAATGGCGCGAATTGACTGACGCGACGTCTGCGCATTGACACTATAAACAAAAAATATTATGATAAAACACTTGGATAAATATAGAAATAAAATTAGACTTATTTAAATAAAACTAGAAGGACAGTTTCAACGCTTTATTATAAAAGATTTGAATGTGTCGAATATTTTAAAAATTATAGACGCCATTTTGTAAAAAAAATATGTTAAAAAAGAATTCACACAAGTTTAACCATATTTATTGTGAAGTAACTTACGCGTGTTATTTAGAAAGTACATTTCCACGTGTGAGTCGGTACAGCGCATTATGACAATATTAAATAAACAAATATTATACGGTAATTTATTTATAAATGTATTTATATAAAATGGCGGTTAATGAATGAGTGCACACTTGTAAGGACTTGTTTTAACATTGAATTAAATGATATCGATGAAGCCGTTATATATGGAAGACCAGACATAAACTACATTTTGACCTCACCGCGATATGTCTGGGGTCAGAACATTACTCGTAATTTCATTAGAAAATTGTTAGTAAGTCTAGATCCGTAAACAGTTTTAGTAAATATTTTGAACGTCATCAATGGATAAATACGATATTTATAATCACGTCTGCATCTCGTGATGTTTTAATTGCAACATCGAACATAAATAGCAATTGAAACAAATAACATTTACCTACATTTAACAGAGAAGCAAATGGTATTTTAAAGTTGATATACCTACAATAGAACAAAGCGTTGTAAAAGCCGATTATCGTTATTTTTCACCCGCACTGCCCGTACGATATGCCACACCTCCAACACATTCAACATACAAAAAGTAAACACAAAACCAAACATTAATGAAACACATGAATCATAAAACATTTTGTATTCCAGCCGCGTATTCATATTGTTCTAACGAGTGAAAACAAACTAAACAAACAAGCGACCAATCAAAATTGCTGCTACCGACGCGCCCTCGCATTTTTAAGACAACAATCGGTTATACAGTTACTGACGTGTTTTGACACATCCGCTTTATTGTACCCCTGCTCAAATATGGTTTTGACTTTTGGTTATTGCACAAAAGTCTTATAAGCGATTATATAGAAAATTCTATAATCAATATTACGATCCTGACATAAAGACATTAAATGGTTAATAAAAAATCCGATTAAAAATCACGTTTTCCTCTAATTTGACACGTGTCCGAACGTTGGAGGAAAAATAGTAAAATTTTATGCATACTTCTTTAATAAACAGTAAACATTCAAGAATATATTATGAGGATGTAAAGGCACGTCACTTGCAGGTGTAAATGTAATAATTTTAGAATCTTATGAGGGCAGAATTTATAAATCCGTTGCCATAAAAAGATAAAAATAAATCAATCCGGTTATAAATTTTTATTGTATAATTAAGAAATATTTGTCGCGTGGAAATTTTTAACAGATAAAAACTTTCGTCATCATTTTTTTAGGTTAATATTAAAATAAATAGATAAAATCATATTAATTTTATAGTCTGTAATGTAATGTTATATCTATGGAACGAAACGTTATAGCTTAATAGAGGCCCGTCCGGTGAATGTACTATACACGCGTGCCATCTTGGACTTTGAACACGACTCAAGGAAATATCTTTAATATGGGTTAAGGAGGTTTATTTACACATGGTGTTATATAAACATAGATTAAAAACATATCATAGAATAAAACAATAGGTTTAGGAATTAATCTTTAAATCATTTACATATCCGGCATCAAAATATTAAAGGAAGTATTTGCAACGAATTAACCTTGATCACGGTTGTTCCGTTTATATTAAATAATTGATATTTTGATATTATACTGAACTAATATAATGGAGAATATATTTAAACAGATGTTGGGACACAGCCATGACAAACTATTTCTGTAACGGTGATCTCAGAACGAATGAATACACTTGGTCGCGATTCAATTGAACTTTAGATAGTTCCCAGGACTAAGAGTAGGAAACTTACACTTAGATATTATTGTTATATCCTTTATGCAATTGACTATAGAATCGAATATTAATAAAAATTAAAGTAACACGTAAGTATGTAACTAGCAGTACTTATAACGAATCCCTTACGTAATTAAGTGTATTTATATAAATTAAAACAAAGACAATATATTGATTAGTATGACACAATTAAAAATATGACAACTTCAATAAGATGGCTATCTCACTGTTTGCAATGCGTTTAGAAGACGTAATAGGTGCTGTTAATAATTTGTAAACAGTTTAATTAATGAATTTATATATTAATAGCGAGAAAATAACGCCCAAGGTAATAATAAAGTTGCGTATTACCTAACGGCTAACAAGAATATGCAATGGCGGACATAGAAAAGGTTAGTTATGTTGAGTTATGACATCTGTAATGTCATGACGTCAAGCGGCACTTCGCGTGCCCGTGAATCGGCCACGCTTGTCATTTGTGGCCTTATAATCGATTTTAATTAGTCTAGAACATTTTATAGTATTTGCGATGTGGAAATGTATTAGAATGCATGATTCTACATGATCATACATTATGTACTTTAATTGTATTAATTGCAAAGAAATGGCGCCGTCATTTCATGTAGATAAAAAACATCAGAATTTTAATTTAATTAAACATTCCTTATTTATTCAATTTATCAAACAATTTGGTTAGTATCCAAATTGTTCTCAATAATTCATATGTTAATTAGAGGCTATTAATTAATTTATATTTCAATGAGTTTTGAATTAAAATTCAGTGTGAAATAATTTGTGTATGTTTAGAGATAAATGTGTTTATTTTTGTCAACATATAATTATTATTTAATAGGATTAATACATCACTACTTTTTATTTCGAGGGCCATGAGAACAGTAAAAATATTTTAAATACCTTTTTTATAATGCATTACGAATATCGAAAGTATAAATCCTTAGCAGATAGATTTCAATAGTTCAGACAATTACCTGTTTTATTTGCAAAAAAAATACATAAGAGAATTTGAAATCTAATATACAATTATATTACTTTACGACTTGCAATGATAGCAGACTATATTTACCAAATTATATTGTTCGACTAGCAACACTATTTGCCTAATAAAGATAATGAACGTAGCAACAACACACCCACCGTATCTTAAGTACTGGCAACATTAAACTACGAATAATTTTATCTGGCCGTAAAAACATTTACAAAAAAAAAAATCTGCCATATTGTCCTGTATGACAAGTTTAAAAACATTTACCCTTAACAAAAGGTTAGCAAGATCATATTAACAAAAAATAATATAAAAAATTAACAAACACTGTGTTATTGATGATCGAACGATGTTATTGAAACATATTAAAAACAATTTCGCTCCTCAGATATTATCGGGGCATAGCAATAACGGCTTGATGTTGTAATTTATACCAAATTGCCTGTAGATATGATTTATTTTCGTAATATTAGACCATGGCCTTAGCTGTGGGGGCGTGGTCCTACGTCACAGTGTAGTTACTAGTCGACGAAAAATCAAATTTTTGACCCGTGTTACGTGTTAGTTACGCACGCTGAAGGATATAAATTTATTAATGCTTCCGTATAATTTATTATTATGTATATGTAACTAGTTTTATTATTTTATAGACTTAATTAAGATAATTTGTACCGGTTTCAATCTCTAATTAATATGATGCCAATTTTTTACTATACCTATAGTTCAATTTAAGGCTTAAAGGACCTTTGAAACTATAATCCTACTCACTCAAATCAAATGTTTAGTCAGTTTATCTAAGAAGACAAAATACAATGTTATATTGTTTTCCAAACAGGCTTATTTAAGGAAAACGGGAAAATATTAAATATGTTTAAGAATGTAAAATCATTCATCCAAATCGGGATTTCATTGTGTCATAATGATTTTGCAAAATCAAGTAATGTATTTCCCTTGTATAAATCCGTTGTGTGAAGGAAAATGAATTGTACATAAAATGTAAATATGGTTTCGATCTTGAAATTACATTTTAAATAAGGATTTCACATGTTAACTGTCGGAATGTTCCAGGAACGAATTATTTAGTAAGTATGTATTTCTGGCAAGATGCCATATGTATATACTTTGTTCTTATTTAAAGAACGTAAAAGTGTATAGTTAGTAATATATACTTATCGGAATTCATATTTGTTGATACTAATCTCATATTAACTATTATTATAGTGTCTATTTATTTTGGCAACTATCTTAATATCTAATATGTAAATAGTTCTCAAGATTTCCTATCAAGTAAAATGAATAAAAAGGTAGAAATTGTTTCATAATATTGACAAATAAGTTCGTTACATTTCGATGTAAACACTCGTAGCCTTCAACGAGAAGAAATAATTGCAGACTTTATAAATAAACTTATAATATTTTGCTATTGAAAACGACCTTAGCGAGAGTTGGTTAGAACGAAAAAAAATTTCGCCAAAATAGCGTTCGTTAATACCTTCATTATTTGCGCAAAAAATCTACATCTCATAATAAATAAAGCAAATAGAAAAATAACTTATGTAATAAATCATTACTAATCAGCTGTTTAAATATCAAATAACGAAAATGTATAAAGAAACTTCATTCAAAGTCACGACAAAGACATACTTAAGCTATACTCTATAGGGATGGGACATGCATTTCTGCCAATGTTTTGGCCAGAATCTTACCGTTGGACAGAATCTTTTCTTTGTCCTCCATCATAGCGTGAGCTGTAGCCCCTGGTGCCATAACTATCCGTCTGATCGAAGGTCTCCTCACTAATGCCACTACGTGCTTTCGATGCTGCTGTCTCCTGCGACGCGTGCGCACTCTCTGAAAGCCTCCAACAGACTGTCTCGCTACACCCGCGCTTATCAGTGCCCGACTCTTATCAACGCGGCAATGATTGCCGAATAACCATATAAATGCTGAATAGATTTTACGATATATAATCCAAATGTACAAATACCATTCACCGCGGATGCTCAGTAACGCCATCAATAGAGATCTGGAAGAAGAAAATCATATGTTAGTGTTTTTGCTACATATAATAAAAAAATAAAAATTAACTTTATTGACTTAAGGATACAAACAAGTTGCAAGGGCCCCTGTACTAGGTGCAAACACGTATTACTGGGTGCCAATGTATGTAATTTGTGAAACTGTTCAAAGCTTTAATTTTATAATATAGTATATAAATCGAAATAGAGGTGTGACGTCATAGTGCTACAATTGATCAATCCTTCTAACTTCCCACACATATTAAATATCAAAAATATTGTCCGTAACTATTTTAAAGTATATTAATTTAAATTACGCATAAATATACAAAATGTACTTAATAAGTGATAAAATTGATAGAAGCAGTATTTTGGTTTGGAGAATAATTTGAAAAGAATAAATTCTGTTGTAAATACCTATTTCTACATTTCTAACTATATTTGGACTATAAAACTCAAACAATTCATATTGTAAAGCCCTTTTGTATCAGAATTTTTTTAATTTTCATCTGATTTCACAGATTGAAAATAATACAAATATTTTCTGTTTTCTACTTAAGCTTTGTTTTTGAGGACAAATTTTATTATTTGGTTGATTCATTCACCTTGACTTACACTTTTAACATGAAAAAAATATTTTACTGTTTAAATAAGTACAATTAAAAAGAACGATATCAATAATTGAAATTACAATATCAATTACCTGCACATTAATGTTAACTACTTAAAGGATTATCTGAATGTGATACGATTTGAAAATAATTAAAAATGATTTAGTGTGCGGTTATAGAACTAAAATTATCTTCATTCAAACAATATAACCTATGTAAAAATGTGAATGCAACAAAATAATCATACAACATATGTATATGATATATTTACTAGATATTTAGAAACTAAAGTTATCAAAGACCCAAATATTTATTAGAAATGAAGTTAAAATATATTTTTTATACTTTTTTGACCTTTCGCATGTACAATAGCACATCCAATAAATTCAATTCAATTCAATGAAAACATACAAGCGAAGTATTGCACTATGACGTCACTCACCTTTAAAATAATTAATTTCTTTTAAATTGCTACATAACCCCTATTTTCACGTATTGAGTCTAATTATAAAAACTGTTACAATTCAAAAACATGTTATGTTTGAATTTGGAATCTTTCATTTTTATATTATTCAATTTGTTTGTTTTAATAAAATTAATTGGAGTGATTAAGCGAACCAAATAGATTTGATTAAATTGCTTAAAGTATGAAGTTAAAAGGCAAAAGCAGTATTCAAAATCCTACAAACGTTTTAGTACTATTGATAGGTACAATGAAACTTCTTCTGTATGTGATAGAAGATGACAGATAATAAAGAAAAAGAATAGGGTGGTGAAATCAAAACGACTGCCTACATAGAAAAAAGATGTTCATGCATGAGAAAATTACTATATTTGGTCTTAAAGCTGTCAAGACTTTCCTATTAGTCAAGTATACGAATAACGAAGGCCTTTATTTGACTTTAGCTGTGGTGGAGCCTTAGATATGAATGAGTGAATCTAATTTGTGTGGGACAGGCATCAGGATTTTTCACAAGTTTATTAAGACACCATTCTTAGGAATAGTTAAGATCCTTATCGTCGAAATGTTATATAGAATGAAATAAACATAGATTTATACTTAATATACACGAAAGATTAAGTACTGAATAAGTTAAAAAAATATATATAGATATGTATATAGAATAGGATATAAGTCAGTGGTGGCCTAGTGGTTAAAAGGCCCACCTCTCATGCATGAGGGCGCGAGTTTTATCCTGGCCCGGGCTAGTACCAATGTGATTTTTCCGAGTACTTTCGAAGAGTATTTAAACATCACTGATTAATGCATTCCCAAAGAGGGTCGATGTCAGGCAGGCGGCCGGTCGTAAAAACAATTAGCCAAAACTATTTACATGTAAGGCAGACCCTGGCTAAAGATGGGAAATTGCCAGGTAGAAGAAGTAGTTCTATACCACTATAATTTATGATATTTTTCAATCGCTGCATTACTATTACTCGCCAAAACATTATTTCATGTACGCTAATTCTTCATACATATTGCTTATCCTCAATGTGAAAAGTAAGTAGTAATCCGACTCTAAACATGATATATTTAAACTTCATTGTTATTACGATAGCTCTGTTTTCATTACGATAATTTATTTGCGACTGTTATTCTTATGAGACCACACGCAATTGTCACTCACCTTTCGATTAAAGTCGGGTCATTAAAGTTTAATTTAAAACAAATAAAATTTTCCATTCTTTGATTCAACGGTATCTTTGGTTTCTATCGTAGACAGTTTTAACTTAGATATTAGGTAATTAATAAATCATAAGAGACGAAACTTCTTAGCATTCCATGTATTTACCGTGCGGGTGCCGGGTCCATCGTTGTAGGGAGAGGAGCTTCAACAGTACCTGGGACTTGCGACCCAGATGTAGGTTTAAGGGGCCCCTACCTAACGCGTATAACGCGTATATACATAAGGATAAGTATGTAAAACTTTTACTTTTGACTTTTTACAATAAGCCATATAATGGTTGACACTTACCCTTAAGATAATTAATATTTAGTGAACATAAAACGTATAGAGCTGCCCATTAATTAACATAATTAAATAGTAAATTAAGGTTCAAATGTCATAAAAAAGAAGGTAATTATTTCGCGATTGTGAATGAATGCAAAATCATTATTACGTAATCGTTTAACTTTGTTTGTTTACAAGTTATTTCGCTTTCCCCACAAAGATATATTACGTAAATACTATACTAAAGCCTTGAAATACCATTGGAGCGTTAGGAGTTACGGTCCGTGAATGGTAAACACGACCTAATATAAACATAAGCTAGAGAATTATTACAGATACGAATGTAGTTTCAAGTTTGTGACATTTAATTAATAAAACTCTACAAAAGAAACTAATATTTTTCGTGATGACGGGCAGACGAGATGTGTATGAGAACACGGTTGCTGAAAAGTAACCGAAATGCAGGGAGTATGTAGTTTATACAATGATATAATACGAGTATTATAATACGAAAAATATTAGTTTCATTTAAATGAATACTCGCGAAAGTCTTAATTATCATTATGAGAATCTTTACGGACTGGAAATCGCCAACAAAACAGCAAATTACATATTATAGGTATATTTTTTGTGTATGTATTCCATTTTTATTTATTCATATATAACGAATTTACTTGTATCCACTACTTTATCTAACATACATAACAAATTAATTGTATATCCAAATTAATACACATACATGTAATTTTATTTTTTAAATATATTTAAACGTTCTACTTTCAGTAACAAATTGATAAATTGTCAGTTTAAATTAAGGTAAGTGTGACGATGTCTTGTAAAAATATTCGAAAGTCCGTAACCAATTAAGGAATCAGGATTGCCGTTACATCTCCGAGAACTTGACAGTTAAATGTGTGTTTAACTTTAAAGGTTAACTTAGTTGTTTAACCTTACTGAACAAGATTCTATAATTATAGCTTCCATGTAAACGTTTCTGTACATTTTATTGATGTCTACATATTACGCAATAAATCTTTATATATAAAAGAAAGTCGTGTTAGTTACACTATTTATAACTCAAGAACGGCTTTAGAGTTTAGGCATTTGAACGAAAATTGTTGGAAATAGCTTAGAACAATGAAAAGGACATAGGATACCATTCATCCGATTAAAAAAGACACAAATAAGTTGATCAAATCCAATATCTTCTTATCTACTGTCTTTTTAAAGAGAAAAAGAGTTCTCCCGGTCAGCTTTACATTTCTAATACTGTAAATAACGCAGACGAAGTCGCAGACAAAAAGTCGTAGTAAATAACGTAAATTTGATATTATAAAACAAAGTTACCATAGTTTAATAATAGCAAACTTTTAAATTGACGTAAAGAACAAAATTATTAGAACTTAAATGACTGAAAAAAAGAAATCCCAACGAACATTTAAAACGTTAGCTTTAAAATTTTTCCGTAATAAAAGTTTATGTGGCTTCTTTAACGATTTCTAAACGTTTCTCCAACACTATATATGTTGAAATTAGTTTCTTTAATGCATCTGACGAGAATATACTACTATAATGATATCTAAGATTTTCAAATATTTAAATGAAGCTAAGTTTTTCTGATACTATGTATTTCATCTCGTCGTATCGTGATCGCGGTTGCTGTAAAGGAATCTAAACGTCGAGTTTGTGTTGTTATAAAACATTAAAAAAAACAAGTATTATGACAAATAAGTTAATTACTTAAATAAGACTTTTCATATTACATACTAGCTTTCCGCCCGTTGCTTCGCCTGCGTGGATTTCAATTATATCGCATTTCCAAGAGAACCTTTCAAAAGTATTTGATAAAAACTATCCTAATGTTCTTTCTCAAGGTCAACTCTACCTCTTTACCAAATTTCATTAAAATCAGTTCAGTGGTTTAGGCGTGAAAGCGTAACAGACAGACAGACAGATATTCTAAGTATTTAGGTTGAAAAATTAAATGACCTATAACTTAATTCGTGTCATGTCTTTAAAAACGTTTATCTAGCTATAAGTATATTATTCACAGACGTCTGCAGAGCAACGATAAGTAATACAAGACTCGTTTAACTCGTTTAAAACCAATACGGATGTTGATATCAACAAAGGGTATTTTATTACTATATTATATTAATAAGACTATTAAAATTCAAGAGGAAAACAAGATTGTTTCTTTATATCTATATACCAAAAAAATATAGTGTTAAAAATTTATTTAATTTTCGTATACATACATATATAAACCAAAAGCCTTCTAAATTGTCTGGAAACAAAGTCGCAGGAAACAGTATTTAATATCGACATAAAGAGTAGAGAATATAAATAAAGTGGATGTATTTATCCTATTCTAACATAATATTGTGTAATAACAGCGTAATTTTGTTCTATATAATAACGCGTAAATAATATTTATAATTGCCATCTTATGTATGATGTAAATTTATCTTAGTTTTCTTCACACTAGGGTTATCGCAGTCTACGTAGAGATCTTAGTACGAATTCATAGTTAACGAAAACTACCAACGGTCTCTTCTTATAACTGGCGATTTTCCCAGCTTTAGCCAGGGTCTGCCTTAGATGTTGTGAATAGTTTTGGCTAATTGTTTTTACGACCGGCCGCCTGCTTGACATCGACCCCCTTTTGGGAATGCATTAATCAGTGATGTCTAAATACTCTTAGAAAGTACATATGACGGGAAAAATCACATTGGTACTTGCCATGATCGAATCCGCGCCCTCATGCATGAGAGGCGCGCCTTTTAACCACTAGGCCACCACTGACTTAATCTTAACTATCAACGCTGTCGAATGTTTGTCGAATGTTGAACTTCAGATAGCTTAAATAGATACAAACACAAGTATTATCAATGGTTATGAAATAACAGTAGCTAGATATTTTTTCAGTCCTGTTGCGATAAAGAGTAAAACCAAAATAAAATAAATAATAATCCTCTTTGCAATCCAAATCTCATCACCAATTTACAAGTTGTGTTTGGTGTGCATTAAAAACCTAAGTGCTGATGAATTATATTATATAAATTTATTATCAAAAAAGTTAATAATATCTTTTACCTATAAATGACAAATCAACATGCTTAATTTGCATGGGAATGTGGTAAAATGAAGATTTAAATCTTTATTCCGTCCGAGCGATTGTCCGGCAGAAGATCGCGAAGGTCGAACTTATCATTTATTTATTCCAATATTTTGATCCCAGAAGATAACCTCTTTGCAAGATTTTCTGGATTATTCCACCAATGATTGCGTTTATGTAAAATAACTTCTCTTTCATTGTAAATTTAAGAAAATACAAGCATACAATCTATAAAACAGAAGCAATTACATATTTTGAATTGTATGGATGTAACTCTTTTGTTAATAATTTTGTTTGTTATTTGATATTTTACATCCTTCCAGCGTTGGAGATAACATAGTTGTTATTAATCAAATTAATAGACAATAGTATTTTGTACATCAAGAAAATTTGCAAAAAAAATCTGTAATAAAAGTGTGGTGTGTTTTCTTTCGCTTACCGGGCCTTATAACTAAAGTGCTCCTTCGCAGTAGTGATCCGAAGAGGTATGTCTTATAAAATGTACCAAGTCGTGGCGCATAGCAGTGCGCCCGTGGATAGCGATGAACGTTTCAATACACATTCGCAATAAGTCCCAGCTGACGATCAGATCCAACTTGTTAACCAAAACTTTCCCCCAACATCGCACGGGAACGATAACACAGTAGTTATACAGTTTTAGGCTGGCCTCTTCCAGATAACAAGAAAAATGTGTTGTTTTACCACCCGTCTATTTCACTCCAGACCGTATTTTGCTCATTGTAACAAAATAAAGGAACGGCTGAATGACGTCGTTGCTGTGAGATTTACTTTTATCCGAATAGCACTCTCAGCAGTGTTACGACGTGGCAGTACAAAAGAAGCGTGGATTATTAACTGAAGCTCGGACCCAAGCGAAAGCAAATGACACTGTAGACTTGTAATAATCGAGTGTCATGTTCGGAACACATCGATTCCCACTCGGCCATTTACGGCGAACACAGAGAGAGAAATACATATTGCTATCCTTATCACTCATATGATTTTATATCGTGTTCAATAATACATGTACCTGTTCTATTTAAAATGTATAGCATGTGCATAGCGATGTAAACAAAAATATAGGTTGTTGTACGACGATGCACTTAACGATTAATATAAAAGAACAAAGTAATGTTAGATTAACATGAGTGTATTGTATAAAATTGTGATAAAAGTATGTTTTACTAATAGAGACTTTGATTTGATTTGATTTGATTTGATTTATGGAAAGAAATGGATGAGCCTGACAATTAATTGTCAAATTAATGTACATATTATTTATTTTTATTTATTCCTAAATAATATTTACTGATGGAGAAGTGATGACAATGATGGTTGTAACTAGGTATTTTATTAATATGTCTCAGCATAAGAGAACTTTCAAGAATGTTAATTGTTGCAGGCGAGGTTCTAAAGTTCTAGAAGGTGTCAAATCCCTGACCGATTTTTAGAGCTCATAAATAAATCGACACATTTCTTATGAGTTTTATTTAAACCTGCCAAATGTCGCTCACTGTCAACGAGTCAAGGAAGAATGATGTAAATTTATCCGGCTGACAAAAAGTCAACCTGTAATGATATCACGATAGCACATTTTGCTGATATATGTATAATAAAAAAGATATCTATAAATCCATACTTTTCGAGAGCAACACTTGTGGAAAATTTCAAAGTTCTTTTTTATTAAAATAAAAATCTATACAAAAAGCAGTATCTGTGAGCATATTGATTTTAATTGCAACGTGTTTGTTCATTATGTATTTCTTGTACCTATGTATATGGTAATTTATATTGCACATTTTTATAGACAACGTCATCACATAATTAGTGGCATTAATCAATTGTTTTCCGCGTCATCCCGAAAGGCAACCATGAATTAAAATGACAGCAGTAGGTATTTGTATTAATAGACGATACTCGTAATAAAAAATATTACATAATAAACTAACTTACTTCATTGTACAACAACACTTCCATTAGGGTCAAGATCGGAGCTATTGTATGTAATTGCAAATTCTGCTGAGATTTGGTTCATAACTTCCTTCGGAAAAACAAAAGACTGATATCTTTTTTTATATTTTATTATGTCTGTATCTGCTACAAAAAGAGAAGTGAAATGAAGAAATGTTGGATCTTTAAAAGAAAAATAATACGTTTATTGTCGTTTATTAACGGACTTTATTTATAATCACGATGGACTTATTTGTTTGTCTATTTGAACAAAAATATTGATTTTGAGAAGTATTGTGTTTTTAATGAAATATATTTTCTTTACTTTTTATTTAATGTTAGAAAAATATTACATAACAAAATAATATACTGCATAGAAACAAGTGAGAATCTCTTTTAAATTGAAAAACCGGTTTAATATTTATCTTCGTATCCTAAGATAATGTAGATAGATATTACATTTAAATAAGATATTGTCAACTAAAGCAAAAAATGTCAAGGTTAGATTTTTAAGTGTTAAATAGATCAGAGCAATATCCTTTCTAAATACATCAGTTAATTTTAAGAACCGAAACAAAGCGATCACGATTCAAATAAGTCAATAACATTCATACTTGTTGCATTTATTACTAAGATACTGAATCACATGCCAGTTCATTCTAACTTCACAGTTTAGTTATTACTTACGTGTGTTTATGGAATCCTAATAAATATCTACCAGATAACCGTTAATTATCTACCGGTTATATTTCCTGGTAGTTTTACCGATGTTATAGTGCTGTGTAATAATGAAACTTGGAATTATTCATCTGCTTATAGGTAAGCTTTTTGCATCCTTGAAGTAAGCGACTTTGTTATTATCTTCTTTTTACACCTACTATCTATTTCAAGTTTTATAATTTATATATCAAACTACTTTTAAAAATGCCAAAGATTATAATGATGTGTGGGTGTTTACTGCTCTTTCAGGCAAAAACTGCTTGACAGATTTTGAAACAACTTTTCATTAAGGTAGATTAGACATGAGAATGAGATATAGGAATTGTAATACCATCACAATTGTATCTTTTATCAATTCACGTGACACAGACTTTGCTGCCGGTTGGTTACCATATCTACTGTTTTAACACAATTTTCACGTATCTTCCTGAATTCAATGCTTAATACAACGTGGACAAACTCGAGATTTAGAACATAGCTAGCATTTAATAAAGATTTCTTAAGTCATGTAATTGTCAATTTATTGTTGTGATTAAAATAAATAAAACTGATTGCTTTATATATTTACTTCAAACTTCTTAAAATTTAAAGAAGAGGTTTGTCCCTGGCACCAAGCCAAAAAGGCACAAGTAGTAGAAGGAGTACTGACGTGATTTTCTGGAAACTTACTAGATATATCAAATTTTAAAAAAGTTATTTACTAAATATATTGCAAAATCCTAGAATCCAACTTTTGTTTTTTATTTTGTTTTGACAGCAAGAAGTCAAAAGACGGCATTTTGATTGGTGCACACTAAATGCAACAATACGAGACGAATTATTTTATATCATTGTATTCAAAGTTATATTATTAATAAAAAATGAAATCATGTCATCTCTAGATACGGTTTCAATTTTTGCATAGACCTCAAACAAACATTAAAATTTTACGCTTTCCCTAAACAGGCGGGAAATAATGTAAAGTTTGAATTCAAAGTCATTCAAAGTACAAAGGGTTTGTTTTAACCAACCGCAGTTAAGAAGCTATTTGTGACTCATGACGTAAACAAATAAGTGTAACATTTACCTAATCTCTTTGTCTTTTTTACGATTTTTTTTCTGTAAGGTACATAAAAAAGTTGTTCATATTATAAATACTATATTTGTTCAGGAAAAAATAACGAGTTAATAAGTTTAATTTCAGTTTTACAAATGTCTGAGACTAGCAAATCAGATAATATTGATCTTGAGAACTGGATGAGAGATCTTCCTGAACAGTTAAGAAATGTCCCTATAATATATCTTGCAATTCCAGGTACATAAAATATATTTAAATTTATTACTATTTTGCTTATGCAGCATTATAACTTTATGAAAAAAGCACAAGAATTACACCTAAGATTTCTTTGATATTATCAAAGTACTGTATTCGTTACTATTATTGTTTAAATGAAATTAATGTTTTTCGGATATAGTTACTACGCGATTTTTATTTTTGATAAAAAACTGCATACTCCCGACGTTTCGACTACTTTATAGCAACCATGATCATGGGCAGACGAGATGTCGTCTCTGACTTCATAAAAATATTAGTTTCATTTAAATGAATACTTGCGAAAGTCTTAGATTTCACTATTATTGTTATAGGAAGTCATGATTCAATGACATACGGCATAACTAGATCAAGTGGTCTAGCCCCTGATGCAGAGCCCATACTAAAGAGATTGTACCCTTTATTTGAAGGTACAATATTAAGATGGACAATTACACAGGCGGTAGATTCTTATCAACAATTACTCCTAGGCATAAGGTATAACTTAACTGATTATATATTGACTATAAAATACCTTAATATTATTTGAATTACAATTAAATATTTATCAAATCCTTATTATATAATTTACTTGCTGTATGGTTATAATTATTTCTTTTAACATTCTGTAACCACTACATTACAGATATTTCGACTTAAGGCTTGCAACAAAGACAGGGTCAGAAAACTTCTTCTTTTGTCATGGTGTTTATGCGGGTGAAATATCACAGCCATTGAATCAAATAAAGGAATACATAAACAAACATCCATATGAGGTAAGTAACACATATAAAATAAAATAATTCTAAATATTGGTACATAATTTTATATACAATAAATTGATGGATACAGTACTCGCATGGTAAATACATGGGATACTGAGAAGTTTAGTCTTTAAAAATGTATGATACTATATAAGTATGTATATAGAAATTATCATGTTTTTTTAAATAGTTTTCTTGATTTATTACACATATGCATACTTCTAAACTATAATTTTACAGCAACAAGAATGTAAACAAAAAAAAACACTACTATTTTCAAATGTTACTACCTATTAATGAAAGAATACTATAAATAAAACAAAATTTCTCATAATGACAATTATTAAATCCTCAATTATCATTATTGCAGGTGGTCATACTAGATTTCCAGCACTTCTATGCATTCACACCAGATGATCATCGGAGGCTTATGAGATATGTTCTGAACATGTTTGGACCACAACTAGTGCCGCGGCAAGCCGACTTGAGCACCGTCACCTTGAATGCCATGCATAGTTTACAACAACAGGTGATATATAATAATTTTATATAATTAATATGTTTTACAGCTAAATAGATACATATTTTAATTTTCCAATGATTCTATACACTTTAATAAGGCTACATAAAATTAAAATTTTACGAATATTGAAAATGGTATATCAGAAATATTAAATGAGATTTAAAACCTTGATATTAAAGGTTTAATCAAAACTAACTTTGCACTTCACTTACTGTGTCAGATTTAGCAGACTCCATAAGTCTTATAAAGTTTTTAAAGTGAAACTTCTTATATGACTTCCAACAAGGTTGCGTTAAACTTCTAACACTACCGTGCAGGGTGTATGAAATCACAATTATGTTAAACATTCAAAGCTCGTTGATAAAAAAGACTGCACAATTTTTTTTATATACAAGTATCAGAACTAAGAAGTAATATTTACTTATTTATATTTTTATCCAAAATAATAAACAAAAACAATAGTAATAATGATTGTTACTAGTGCTTAACTGTGAGTATTGCATGATTTAGTTCAATCATAAACAGTTATTTAAATAATATTTGCATTTATCAAAGCAAGGTTAACCTGAGACTTGAATTTCAATGCATATTTGTTTAGTATTATGCAACTTGTAAATAGTGAAGATTTTATAGATTTTCGGTAAAGTATTATTATTAAAGTAATGTTCTTTATAGTAAATATATACACTATATTTTTTAAATTATTAGGGGAGTTAAAAAAATAATAACAATTATTTACAAAATTGTTCTTCACAATAAAAGTACGTTGATAACTTTTATTACTTATTTAATTGATTTTTTTTATTTATTTGTAATCAACAGCGTATACAGATTATAATTGTACAGTTTTTAAAACTTCATCAAGACTATGGCCACAGAGTATTTTGACTACAACATAGGATTTATATTTTTTATTCCGTCCTTACAATCTCATAATCATTCTTACAAAAAAAAATCCTCAAGTACAGAACAATGAAGAAACCTTTGTATAATGTACACATTTTTTTATTTGTCGCGATATCGTCAGACTTATTTTGAGATATTTATGTCTTATGTGTTAGCAACTAACTGGCTTTAATAATTTGAATAGTGATAGATTGACTTATAATAACATGTGTTTACTGATGAGATGATCATATGCCTCATTAGATGAGTAGTTGTAATGCCAGAACTATACTTCTAACAATTTGATATAGAAGGTTATATATATATGTATTATGTTATAATATAAAGTCATAAAAAATATTTGATGTTCCATTTATAGATTTATAATTGATAGTAAATCCAAGAATTAATAACTAATATTTTCATTACATACCTAATAAACAAACTCAAAAAGAAAAGTGAATTGATATCAATCAATCCATTTAGGTGCTATGCTCTTACAGACGTACAGAAATGTATGTCAAACATATAACTACCCTTTTTTTGTATTGGGTGATATATACATACATATATATACATATATATAAGTTAATATTATTTGAATGAGCCCATAGGAAGTTATTTATCTTTATATATATATATATATATAATTCTTCTGTGCGTGTGTACGTCATTGAACTTTTCTCAAACGACTGGACCGATTTTGATGAAATTTTTTTTGTGTGTTCAAGGGGATCTGGGAACGGTTTAGATTCACAATTTTGTCCGCTGGACAATGTTTTTTTAATTAATTTTTAATTTATTATTACATATTAGATTTGACAACTAACTTATATGGTAATCATTCTGTCGCACTTCAAAACAAGGATATTTAGGGCTTTAATAGGTAAACTCTAAAAATATAAATAAAAAAACATAACAGATATTTCTTGATTATAGGGCGACACGAAGTTCGCCGGGTCTTCTAGTACATATATAAGTTATAAGTTAATATTATTTGAATGAGCCCATAGGAAGTTATTTATGTATGTAATATATATATTTTCCAGGTGATAGTTGTATACCGTGACCGTTCAGTGTATGCCACGAGTGAGTTCTGGCAGCCACAGATGCTGCCCTCCCCGTGGCCACAGAGGGAAGACATCAACGGTCTTTATAACTTCATGAAGGAAGTACGGAGACATCCCGGGATGGGGTTCGTTCATCAGGCTGTACTTACACCTACACCTGCATTTATACTGTTCAGGTAATATATATATATACTAGCTGCTCCCCGCGGTGTTACCCGCGGATTTCTGGGATGTAAAGTAGCCTATTTGTTATTCCTGGACGTCAGCTTCCTGTATACAAAATATTATCAGAATCGGCTCAGCCGTTTGAGCTTGAAGAAGTAACAAACACATACTCACAGATTTTCGCAATTATAATATTAGTTGAATTATCACTTCTCTTTGATGTGTAGGCCTGGTTAAGGCCTGTTTCTCGTATATGCGGGTGCAGGTTCGAAACCTGGCTCACAAGCACTTAGTAAATAATATAGCAAATATTTGAATTAGAGTTAAAAAAGAAAAAATCTTCATTTTATTAATATTCATCATGTCAAAATAAAAATTGAGTAGTGGTATCATCACCATCATCTTATTGGTGCCGATTGCTGAGGCTCTCCTCACATGGAGAAGGTTAGAGCATTAATCACCACGATTGCTTGATTTAAAATTTCAAACTTATAATTTGTAATTATAAGTCCTGGTTTCCTCACGATGTTTTCCTTCATCTGTCAGTGGTGTCTATATACTCTTAGAAATTACATATGACACAGAAAAATCACATTGGTACTCGCCAGATATAAACCCGCGCCCTCATACACGAACAAAATTGCGATCCTAATTTGATGAACCCAATCAGATATCTGTAGTATTTCAATGAAATCCAAAGATTGAAAATATGCTTAAAAGAAACGTAAAATGTATTTATCTACATTGTTTTTTCTGAATTCCATTTTTAAAATATATTCTGAATTCCATTTATAAAAACAGTACAAAGAAGTTTTTATAGAGTATGCCAGTCAGGCCTTGAAAAATCACAAATGAAAATAAAAACAGACTTCCGCCATCTATTGGTGACGAGCCGAAATTACTTTCTTCTACTAAGAATTTATTGTGAATTGTAAAGGACTAAGTTAAGGATAAAATTTCAACTTTTAAAACATTTTTATGCATTTTTGATTTAAGTTTCTTTTGTTTACAGATGGCTATCAAATCTACGTGAGAAATGCGCCAAGCCGGTCAAGAATGAGATTTATCCGAAATTATCAGAATTCACTCCTGGAAGACCTGTTGAGGGTGAAGAAAAAGCTCCCGTGAATGTTATTATAGCTGACTTCATAGAGATGGACAACGCCACATTCTCAAAAACCGTCATTAAACTCAATTTAAAACTATTAAAAACCGACATATCGCATAACTACGGGAAATTTAGCTTTAACTAGTACTTAAGTGTTTCATCCCATGACGTATGTACCTGCATTTTTATTTTTTTTTACACAGCTATTTTGTATTATAAAGCTTTAAATGAATGTTGTATTATTATAGTGCCTTAAAATAAAATATTATTTTATAAGTGTGTTTATTCATTTATAATTTATTTGCTTGTCTGGGAACCGAACACTTTATTACAGAACTCATCCAACTTTATGGTTTCACACAAGTCCTTGAAGGACCACTTCTTCCTCTTATGATTCGGTTCTTTTTTATCCAGGGCTGATAGTAATTTGTCTGATAGTTCGTCGGAAATTTCTATGATTCTACATATTTTGTCCAAGCGGGCGAGGTCTTCTATGGAGTTAGTGAGATCTGTTAGTTCGATGACTTGTGATTTTCTTTCGTGTATTTGGAAGGAATTCTCGGAATCCGTTGCACTAGTGCTGTCCAATTTATCGTAAATATCGTTCAGTTTATTTCCCACGGCATTGGTTATCGATGTTTTTTTATAAATGAAACTGACATCATTAGTCTCTTCCGTCGTATCTTTTGACATCTTTTTTATAATTTCTCCTATAATTTTCTTTTTCATATCAATGGCGTTAGTTTTATTGGGGATGGAGTTTTTAGTTTCATTCTCTTGTTTTTCTCCAGAAGTTGAGCACGATTCACTGGTTTCTAATTCGGTTTTGTTTTTGATCTTAGTGCTCAAAATCACACTGTGCTCTTTAGTACAATTTTCATTCAATTTGTTTTTATTTTCTACGGCACGATGATAATTTTTTTCACAATGAAATTTATCTTTTATTATATCATCATTGCTTTTGTTATGTGTAGGCTTCTCAATGTGTTCTACATTATTAACTGTTATAATATTTAAATTTTTGACAGATCTAATGTCATTTGAACTGTCATTTTCATCGATTGACGTTCCCAGGTCGCTAAGTCTAGAACAATCGTTAAATTCATCGTCTTTGATCTCCTGTACTTGTTCATCATCTGAATGTTTGAGATTTTCGTCTTTATTATCAATAATCTTATTATCAACCACAATAGGCGTTATTTTTTCACGTAACAAATCATTTTTAATATCTTTTTCTTCTTTGTATTGTTCTTTTGGTGCACTAGTTTCGAGATGTGAATTACTCTCTTTCGATTTCTTCAAAAGTTTCTCTGTCATGTCTACCATTTTCGAGAACTCCTTTTTCACTTCTTCCAAACGTTCCTGAGTTTTTTGATAATTTTTACGTTCTTTGTCCGAAGTTTCGAATGGTGCGCAGCTTTGAAATAGCGATGTTCTATTTTGTGGAGGGTAAATTTGTTTCTGATCGCAGATAGATTGCATGGATCCTGAATTGTGTATATCTAAATGTTGCCTCGAACTCATTGGGGTCGGTGGTCTTTCATTGAACTCATGGGGCATGTACAGCTTAGATCTATTTTGTATTAAAGTATTACAAAATAAATCTCTATTGTAAAACGGTATCGGCCTTTCCTTGGATAGTCTGGGCGTCACCGAAAGCCTCCTGAAAATATTCTTTGGCACCAGTTCCAATTGACAAATTTTCTCCAAAAACTTAATTGAATCGACGACTCTGCATGCATAGGAATATTCGTTTTCGTACCAACAAATAAGTTTAAAGAAATTTGGTGTCAGTTGTAAACAGGAGTTGACATCGAGGATGCAAGACTTCTCTTCGCCAAGAAAATCTGAGGACACTGCCTCATCATTACTAGTCTTGATAATATTCTTCAATGGAGATCTCACCTGGTCTTCAACACTTTTAACAATGTGCCCGATTGATGTGCTTTTGTTTAATCTATATGAAAAAGAAAACAATAAAAAATTATGTTAATTAAAATTCAAGCATTGTATCTAAAACTAAAGCGGATCATTATTGGAACAATATAATTAACTAAAGAACACGATTCCAACATGAGACGGTAGTATGGTTTTTAGGAAATAATTCTAGGAGCGAAATTATACTACCGCGCCCTCACATAGATAATACACATACATCATGTATGTACTAACAAAACATATTTAGTATCTTCAATTACTTGAATATCTACTTAAAGAACAATACACAAAGATTTCGCTAATACATATAAATTTATAAATTGAATTAAATAAGTGTCTAATAAAGAATGGTGTTGAATTTATATTAAAAAAAAAAATCTTATTACATAAAAATATTATATCAAATATTGGTATATAACAAAGCTTAACATGCGCCTTAATAAAGTAATATAATTGTACATTTTTCTTTTGTTTGTTTTACTCGTATTATTTTTGTATATATTGGTCTGCAATAAAGAGTATATAAATGAATAAAACGTTTAAAGCTGTAAACATTTAATTATATTACTCACCGTATAGTTATATCGAGTACAGAGACGTTAACAACAGGTACCCTGAACGCTAAGCCCGTCAGTTTGTCTCTAACACCCGGTATGATCTTCCCGAGGGCTTTACAGGCGCCCGTAGCAGCCGGTATTATGTTCTGGTGGATGCTTCTATGGTCCCTCCAGTGCTGGATGAAAAGCAACCTTAATAGAATCAACATATGATTTAAAATCTAATATAACCTTAGTACAAACCAAATAATAATTCGATCGAACCTCTCAAACCGTTAATTTTCAAATCGTTTTGTAATTTCTGAACTAGTCACAATCATAGCCTTTCGGTATAAAAAAAACTTTTATAATAAATTAAATACAATTATTTATCAAAACGAAAATACTTAGAAAACAATTTTACTCTAATCTTCTTCTACCTGGCAATTTCCCAGATTTAGCCAGGGTCTGTCTTAGATGTTGTGAATAGTTTTGGCTAATTGTTTTTACGACCGGCCGTCTGCCTGACATCAATCCCTTCTTTGGAATGCATTAATCAGTGATATCTAAATATTTTTAGAAAGTACATATGACTCGGAAAAATCACATTGGTAGTTGCCAGGTTCAAACCCATTCCCTCATGCATGAAAAGCGGTCCTTTTAACCACTAGGCCACCACTGACAATTTTACTCTAATATAAATACATAAATTTAAAAATTTAATTTAACTTTTTCCAGAATGATTTATGACGACTGACATATTATAATATATTTTGTTTAATTACAGTACCTTTCCCTTTAAACACAATCCATCCAACGGTTTCAAAGATGGCGTCATAGCATGGATGCTAGTTATAAAACCTTCTTCAACTCTGTAGTTATCTTCTAAAACCTTAATAATTGGAGCCAAACAGTATAAAGTACTCGACGCGCAAGATATTACTTTCTGATCTGGAATTTAGCAAAATAATGGAGTAGGCTTTAATTAAGTTAGCCATCCCGGTAAATAAATTTTGTTTTATCTTTCTAATCAAGGCAATCTATTAGCAACAGATTTCAATGAGCTGTTAACAAAATGTATTACAATTATCTGTTAAGCTAAACTATTCATCATAAGAGATTTGAAAATTATCGACCGCAGTCCATAAAATATGTCTACATTCGTCCAGGAACAGTCGGTCATTGAAATATCAGAATATAGTTCCTAAATTAACTGAAACTTGAATATCATTACAAAAAAAACTCATTTCAAATATCTCTCATTCAGAAGGTCGCTCATATCACTTATCAACCGACCCACCCCCAAAACAAAACAACATATCTCTATATTTAATACTTAAAATCAAGAAAACAATATTATTTATTACTTCGTCTTGGTGACATTCAAACATTTATCAAGTTTAATAAACTTTGTACTCAAGAACATATTATATGATTTAAAATCGTAATTAAATTTCAAGATAAAATATTTTAACCTTTATTTATTCTGTCTTCGTTAACGCCTATTATCAACATTGGAACGTCGATACTGGGGGCTGTCACCAATACTCGTTTGACACATTTACTCGATAAATGGCCCTAGAATTATGAAAAGATAGATTGACATAATTTATGGAACCAATATTAAATATTATCTTTTATTTAACAAATTTTATCGTAAATATTAAATTATTACCGACGCCTTATCGTAGTTAGTGAAAATTCCCGATGCTTCCACAACGTATTGAATAGATGCTGACTGCCACGGTATATTTGATGGGTTTTTCTCGCGAAAAACTTTTATTTTATTTCCTACAAAACAAAAAAATATTATTATTTTGTATGTCATATTCTTTGCGTTTATTTCGTTCATTACGTGATTACCATTAATAGTAATCTCGTTGTCTGCGTATGTAACATCCCATTTTAATTTGCCGTGAGTCGAGTCGAACTTTATAAGGTAACTGATATATTCAATGTCTACAGCCGGGTCATTAATCGCCTTTACCTACGAGAAATATATTATAATTATGTATATTAATACCATATTTTTTTAAATATTAATATTTACCTCCAAATCAGTGTTTTCTAAACATGTCCTAAAAATCACCCTGCCTATACGTCCAAAGCCATTAATGCCAACTTTGAGAACCATTTTAGTATGATCAAACCCCTATGGGGTATGTTAACATTTATACACAATTTAGTCGAATTTGATATTATCTCCTCGCATTTTGAATTACCCGCTCTGTAATATCAAAAAATATTGATATGGAGTAACAAAATTTTAGGGTACGATAAATCTTGACAATAGATTGTTCCTAAATATTATAATTAATGCTTTATGACATATATAATGAAAAGAGTTTTTAAGAAAATAATACTTTTTCCTTCTAATAAATAAAATTTGCTCATACCATAATTATTATAAATTATTGTTACCTACATTCGATATTCTTTAGAAATATTCAACTCACGTTAATGGATTCTTAATCTTATTATAATTAGAAGGAACTCTGCCAAACCAGCGTACAAAACATTTATAATGAATTAATTCCATTTATTTTATTTCAATTTTTTAAGGTTTCTCATAATTATATGAATTTTTTCCCTGTTTAACGATGAAATATGTTTTTGAATGGACCCGAAAAATGTTTCTCAATGAATAAAGGTAGGTATACGTTACACAATGTAAAATAAAAGTATTTTTGCAATAAAATAGATAGTCATAGTAGTTCCCACATAAACAGTGTGACATATGCTAGCATCATTATTCTATACAAAAAGGTTTTTTTTAAATACACCAAATTAAAAAAAAAACATATCTAAGGTATTAAAAAAAATTAAAAACCAAGAACATCGCCGTGAATCAAAGAAATATTTATAATTTATTGTTCAAAAAAATATATTTATAGAATAATGAGCTTTTTTTATATTATTTCATCATAAATGTACCTACAGCGTTACAAAGAAAATAGTGTAGTTTCTGCTTAATTGTGAAGATCGTGTATACATACCATTACTTAATCTTTCGTGTACTTCGTTGTCCTTCATCTGACATTTCAATTCTCCATATTGTGGAGGAAGGAGGTGTCGTGTTAATAAAATAAATTAATAAATTTAATCCGGTATGTACTTATCTATACTATTTGTTTTATAAATAATATTTTAATGTTACTTCGGCTGTCCTAAATGTGATAGTTATTGAATAAACGACTTCTAATTATTACATCATTGTGGTGTACGTGTGCTTCTACATTCTATTTCATAAACCGTTAATTTAGCTAAAATATCAGTATTTTATTGCAACTTCTTATATTATTCATGTGCCAAATATTCTTCATGCATGATTTTTAGTTTTTGACTGCATATTTTAGTTTATTTCACAGATTTTATGTGTGACCTTTATCTGACCTTTCATTTGCCGGTATGAAGCTTAAATAGGTAGAGATATAAATTAGTATCCAATGGCCACAATACGCTGTTCAGGAGTCTATTAGAAATTTATATTAAAATAACAAGATTGCTTTTTACATCCATTGATCGATAATAATTAATTATTAGTACCTAACTAGTATTTTTTTGTAAATAGTTCATTCAGCAGAGGCAATTGTTTAAAAAACTATTTGCTTTAAAAAAAGCTTTATGCTCTACCGACAGTAGAAACGTCTAATTACAATAAATATCTTCTTACTTTTCAATTATTTAAAGGACATTATTACTCAGTTGTAATACTTGTGAACAAAATGTACTCTATTTCAGATTCTTTAGAAATTGTATATTGGAGCATTTAAGAATTATACTGCTGTGGAATTTTAATGAAACATTCAGTTTCATAAACATTAAACATTTTTTCCTAAGGTCAAATGGGGGTCATGATAAAACAGTTTTCAATAACAAACAATTTATGTTTAAATTAGTTTGCAATTGTGTCACTATGACTATTAAAAAGTGCTATTTATTTAAACAGTTTCAATATTAATATACCACAATATTTCCAACTATTTAAAGTATTTATTAACTTTTCAGCTAAAATGTCCAAAATCGGTATCAACGGTTTCGGCCGCATCGGTCGTCTGGTCCTCCGTGCTTCCATTGAAAAGGGGGCTCAAGTTGTAGCAGTCAACGATCCCTTCATTGGTTTGGACTACATGGTCTACATGTTCAAGTATGACTCCACCCACGGACGTTTCAAGGGATCAGTAGAAGCTGTTGACGGCTGTCTCGTTGTTAATGGAAACAAAATTGCTGTCTTCTCTGAGAGGGACCCCAAAGCCATTCCCTGGGCCAAGGCCGGCGCTGAATACGTTGTTGAGTCAACCGGTGTTTTCACCACAACCGACAAGGCATCCGCTCACTTGGAAGGTGGAGCCAAGAAGGTCATCATCTCAGCTCCCAGCGCGGACGCCCCAATGTTCGTAGTCGGTGTCAACCTTGACGCCTACAACCCATCCTACAAGGTCATTTCCAACGCCTCATGCACAACCAACTGTCTGGCTCCACTCGCTAAAGTTATCCACGACAACTTTGAAATCGTTGAGGGCTTGATGACAACCGTTCACGCCACCACCGCCACTCAGAAGACTGTGGACGGTCCCTCCGGCAAGTTGTGGCGTGATGGTCGTGGTGCCCAACAAAATATCATCCCAGCCGCCACTGGCGCAGCCAAAGCTGTTGGCAAGGTTATACCGGCTCTGAATGGAAAATTAACCGGTATGGCGTTCCGCGTGCCCGTAGCTAATGTATCCGTCGTCGATTTGACAGTCCGCCTCGCTAAACCCGCCAGCTACGACGCTATTAAACAGAAGGTCAAGGAAGCGGCAGAGGGACCACTGAAAGGTATCCTTGGATACACAGAAGACCAGGTCGTATCTAGTGACTTCATCGGCGACTCCCACTCGTCTATCTTCGACGCCGCCGCCGGTATCTCTCTAAACGACAACTTCGTGAAGCTGATCAGCTGGTATGACAACGAGTATGGTTACTCCAGCAGGGTCATTGACCTGATCAAGTACATCCAGAGCAAGGATTAAACTCTTTATTATTATATAATGAGATGTAATTGGAATGTCGAGATTAACCGACGATTATTTTATTTTAAGTTCTAAGTGTAGCTGTGTATTCTAAATTATTATTTTACTACTTTAATAGTAGTAGATACATATGAATCCCCTTGCACCAGATATAATACATATATCCAAGTAACTTCCTTATTTAATATCCAGTGTTTATGTATGTTACATGCCATAATGAAACATTAAAATTTATTTAAAAATATTGTTGTTTTAGTGCCTTGTAGCTCATGGGTGTGCTGTAAATATAATCTTATCAATACAAGTACTTAACCCTAATAGTTATTACTCGTTGAAAATTTCAGATAACATATTTTGTATTGTCATGTAAAGTTTTATACTATATGCATTATGCTGCCCAATAAAAAGTATTCGGCATTAAATGATGGAAATACTAAATTGGTGAAAAACCTGAAAATAAACACCTATCTTATTAATTCATTAAAACTTGAAAGATGATGTTTCATTAAGTATACTTTAAAAAAAATACCAAACAAAAAATTTGTCCAACATTTAAACATATGTATCAAACTATGGATTTAGAAGGTATATTGTCCTTTAAATATTTTAATGTACAGCTTGCAATCTTTTGTAAAGACAACATCTTGGTGAGTTGGATGTTTATTTTATAAGTTACTAACTTGTCCATGGTTTAAGTAGTTCATATCGCATTCCCCTATTAAGGAAAATGGGGTAGCATGTGTTATTTCAACCAACACCGAAAAAAAGGAATAATTTCCAGCCTTTAATACCCAATGGGCAAACCATTTTTGTTCTTTTACAATGTATTTATTTCAACAAGGTTTAATATCTGTATACAATATTAATTACCTTTTTATTTTATTATCAGTCGTGAATCGTTATAAACAACAAATAAATATAAGATAAGAGTATTTTTTATGCTAATTGTTTTATACTGAAAGAAGTGTGATAATTATTATATAAAACTTCTAATTATTAAATAATTATGATCATTGAGTGCAGATTAATTTACAATTAAAAAATGTAAAGATAATAAGTTTTTATAAAAAATATATTTTTATGTTTCATTGCATTAAACTAGTAGAAGATTCTATAATAGAATTTAAAATACATAATGAAGTTATGACAGACAGGAGCTAGTGAACATCTTATTACACATAATTGATAATCTTGGTCCTGGTAATAATCAGAAAACCAAACAATTAAATTGGTCTGGCTATTCTTCATAAATTTTCCTTTTATTTTTTTGATTATCATCACATAATATTCTGGTAAACGTTTTAAATATTAGGTTTTCAAGAGATTATATCCAAAAAATAGAAGGGTCTTAAAAAGAAAAAATTGTTTACGTATTGGAAATTGAAATATCAAAAAGAACAGTTACAGAAATTTTCTTCCTAGCTTGGACCCACGACTATCGTTATTAGTGTATTCATTGCTTAGCTCTATCGATTAGCTTTTCCTTGTGGGTTTTTTTAACAATTACTAAAAGTACATTTATAGGTATTCCCTAAATAGCATTGCCATATTTGAATTTCCCTAATCAGCAAAAATATTATATTCTGTATTTAGTAGAAATGGCTACGGAATGTCGGGCAGCTGTCAATGACATATTCGTTTGCTTCGTGTAAATTTTGTAATGTTAATATTTCGAATCCGTCTGTGCGACAATGAATATGAGTTACACTAACAGATAATGATTATTCGTGTTTTTTGGCAATTTTACTACAAACTGTAATAGTGTTTATGAATCAATCGTTGTGTATTATATTATAATGGAGGATCTCAATTTGACAGAGACCGAAATGAGATATTTCGGTGATTTGTTTTTGTGCTGCGACGAGGAATCCAACGGGAAAATACCGATTTTAAAGGCGACTGAATTATTTAGATCATCCAACGTATCCAATGATGTATTACGACAGGTAAACGTTGTTATCAGTGCTATTGAAACACACTTTGTTCTTCATTAGTTAATGTCAATACTTTTTCCATCTTCCAGATCATGGATATTAGTGTAGCGCCTAATACATGCACGTCATTAAATCATATGAATAGAAAGCAATTTTATTCAGCTCTCAAACTGATAGCCGCTCATCAAACAAATATGTCCCTAAGACCAGAACTTTTATCAACTCCCTTAGATTTGCCATTGCCAAGATTTACATGGGCACTAAACTGTGACGCCAATGCTGATCTCATACAGTTGTCAAATTCACCGAAGGAACAGCATATATCGAAACGAGACAGAAATTTTGGTAGTATCGCTGCATACGAGCCAATAAGAGTGCCATCAAACCTATCTGATAGTGACGCTCCACAAACAATGTCTCATGATAATACAGAAGCTTTAAGTACGGACTCAGAAATGGAGTCGGAGACGTTGTCACAAAGATCTGGTTCACACGGGGTAAGTTGTATGAACATAGAAGTTAAAATAGTTATTGTATTTGCTTGTATGACTTAGACATTCAAGGATATGTTGCTACTTTACTTATTTTATGTTGGTTAACTTTATTTTCAATTGTATGTTCATTGCGGGACATAAAAATTATAAAAATATGTGATTTTGCTATGAAATCACGATTTTTCACACTACAAGTGTTAATAACTTTGGTAACCATTTCATATAAAAACAATATGTATTCTTATGTTTATATCCTGACTTTAGTTGTTCTCAATACTGCAACTTGATTGTGTTTTTCTTGTTGTCTCATACAAATATTTTTTTTATTACTTCGAGATTGTTTCATGTGTAGTATATGAAGTATATGTATCTATGTAGAAAGTGTTGTAGTTGGTGGTGTTTATCTCTTGGGGGCTTGAAAAACACAGATAATCATGTAAATTCATGCAACACTTCTATACCACTCCCTTAAAATAAATTTAAGGAATAGAAGTTATGTTCTATGGCATTTATTCAGCTTTTTCCTTTTCTAATGACTGATATTTGAGTATTTATAAGGGTAGGTGTAGATATACTTAGAAAGCGGTTTTTGATAATTTAATTAGTTTCATATTTGTCACCTCGAAAACATGGTCTTCTTGAAAATAAACAAATTTAAAAATAATAAGATATAACTAGAGAAAATATTAAAAGTTACATTTGTTTACAGATCAACTTGTTCCATTTTAGATAATAAAATTGTTTAGCCTTCTAAATGTGATAAAAGTTAGCACTTTCATTTATAATTATACCAGATATGAGATGTGTGCCTCACTAAATGACATTATCTTTATTTAGACCAAGATAAAACATACAGTTAACCTGAAATATTGTTTTGTATTTTATGAATCTTCATATATATTAAATACATGTGAATATTTTTTGTCATTGATAAGATTTTTGATAGCATTTTTCTTATTATTTATTTTAAAGTTATGTTCATGTTTATTTAAATTAATATGTTGAATAATCTGTATTTTAGGTTTTTTAATGCAGAAACTAATTATATCTTCATTAAAATATTCAAAATTTTAGATGAAAATTATACAATTGTTACTATAGCATTTAGCAAAAATAATAAATGTTGTAAATTAAATTGGAATTTTTTACAAAGTTTATTAAGTAAAATATTAATAGCTTGGAATAAAGCTCTCTTGACAAATAACGTGTTCTTGACATTGTTATAAACTAATTTTAGGCAATTAATTTGTGAAAATTACTTATAAACTTATGTCATTTGACTTATCTATATCGTGAATATGTTGTTAATTCACTTATTTGAGTTAGTAGAAGATTTATGCATTATATTATTTATTAAATATATTATAGATATATTAATTTTGTTTGTTTCTTCGTATTCAGAGACGTGTGAAGGCTGGATCTCCATGGAGTACAGCCAGTGAGAGTCCGACGCCAACTAACAGTGTGGCAGAACGTGTTCATCCAGTGTGGGAACATAGTGCTACGGGTCGAGGGGTTTGGCCGACAAACACCACCGAAGAACATACTCGCTTATTAGGTAATTATTTCTTTACTAGTTTTTTTCGTGACTTTCTCTGTTTTTGTCTTCAGAGAAATAAGTAATGTGTAATAATAATATATGTCACTCACTCGTAGATCTATCTGTCTGTGTCATGTACAATACTGAATACTCCATACAATAAAGGGATATATTATAGGCTGTATGTTATTCTTATATCTTAGCGATGTTATTGGCAAGTAACTAACTATGGTGTTTATAATATTAGTGCCTTATTGAGATACTTTAAAGTAGGTATTCATTAAGGAAGATTTATTACATCTGGCAATTGTAATCAATATTGTTTAATGTTGTGAAAGTTTGAAGTTGATAGTGTATGTGCCTAATTTTATTCGTCTTTTAGTATTATATTAAAAAAATACTTAGTAAGGAGCTATTTGTGTATGAGTGTGATTTTTTTTTATAACATATCAATTTGATTTTCAAATAAATCACATAGATTTATTAAAATGTATAAGTTTAATTCTCTTTTTCTATATGTTCAGCATTCATAATATATGTCTTAATTATGGATATCACTTAATTGTTCTATTACTGTTTCTTATCTAGTGTTAAACGAAAATAGATATTACACATTAATTTCACACATATGTACTCATCATAAAATGCAATGACTAATGTTTCTGGTTTTACAAAACATAAAATTATCCTATAAAGTATTGTTCTAAAATTCTCATAGTTTTTTAAATATATTTAGTTAAGAAAAAATCGAGTTATCTAAACTGGTTTAGCAAGATTTATAATGGCTTGTTCAAACATTTTAGGGAAGTTGCTTTGTTAAACTAATTAGAGTCTATTACAGATGTGGAACGGGTCTTGTTAATTTGACGTTTGATTGAATTTGTTGAGAGTCCTAATTAAATATGTACACTGTTCTGGAGTATTTATGAATCAAAAATTGACTTTTTTTTTCATTTAAAGGAACTTAAATCACATTTATATATGATTTAAGTTAGTATTATTATTATTCTATAATTTTTTCAACTGTATATTTATCAAGTGGTCTAAAATTAAGGTAAAAGTTTCTGTTTGATTTTTCTGTATGCCATTGTTTAGTTTATTAGAATCTACAATGGTTACATGTAATGAAATCATCTGAACAAAAAATAATTCACAATTGCATTTTGTACGTGTCCTATATAAATTTTGAAACATGAAATGATACTTATTAATTAAAGTTGTTTTTCTTATATGTATGTTATTATTATAGGTACTGAGGAAGAGTCTTCTGACCGTCACTCCTCGGAAGAAGAGGCTGATGATACTGATGTTTGTTCTATGAGTGAAGCTCAAGCTCGACACTATGCTGCTCAGTTTGCTCAGCTGCGACCTGAAAGGGGTATGCTGTCTGGACAAACGGCCAGGTGATTATGCTGTATTATTATGACTTATATGATATAGAACTTATTTCTTGGAATGATCATAAGTTAAGATTTTTTCTCCTCAATTGTTGGAATGACATAGTTAACTATACAGGGTGACTGGTGAATTACTATCGATATTTGAGGACGTGATATTTGACGATCATATATGACAAAATAAAAATTAATATAACATAAATATTAATAAACTTCTAAGTAAAGTTAACCAAAAGTTATGTAATTAATTACGCATCGTATGAACACCCTACAGATTAGGTATACACACACACACACACTCGCGCGCGGCGGCGTGTTGTTGTATCAGCACGCCGCCGCACGCGTCCACACTTGGAACACTTGGAACGTGTACACACTTTATTTATTTATACGGAAATTTGGTCAAAAATTAAGTACCTATTTTTTTTACATAATTCGAATGAGAATCATGTACCGAGTATGCTCCTTAAATATTGATAGTAATTCACCAGTCACCATGTATATAATTATTATAGATTTATTTTTATATGGTTCTGATTGTAGTTTCAAGTTAAGTTACTAGAGATTTGATGGTAAATAACTTTGTTTCCAGACTTTTTTTCGAAAAATCTCGCCTTTCGGTTTCTGATCTGAGGAAAATTTGGCAGCTGTCGGACATCACTCAGGACGGGATGCTTAGTTTAGAAGAGTTTAGTATAGCGATGCATTTGATCGTTCTACGGAGAAACAATATACCAGTACCAGACGTGTTGCCCGCCTGCCTCGTGCCGACCGTCGACTCGCAGTTCACACAACGAGCGGTTACCACGGACCTAGTGGACCTCGGCTCGGACATGTTCAACTCCGGAACCTCCGCTGACTTCAACTTCGCACCCAAACCGGAAATGAACGACCCGTACGAAACCAAACCGGCCAAAAAACCGGAAGACCGCCAGCCGTCATCGAGCCCGCCGAAACCAGAGCCTCAGATAAACAACAAGGAGTGGACCAAGTTCGTCGATTCTCCGACTTCTAGTGTATCTAGCCCCGGACCGAAGCCAGTCAATTTTGACTTCCACAAGTCTGCTCTGGAGCGGGACCCGAAGATATTCCATCCCGTAGCCTTGAGGGTGACTCCCGAGTCCACCGCCCTCCCACACGAAACCGACACTCGCTCGAGCACCTCCCCGCGGCGAGACGACTTCGTGCACGCCTTCGAACTCGCTAGCCCCAAGCGACTCAACTCACAACCACCAGAACAACCCAACGGTAATCCAGAGATCAAGTCCATACAACGCCCGCAGCCCAAGAAGCCGATGAAGAGCGCCGGCGTGCTGCCCCCTCCCCCCGCGCGCGATTCCCTCCCTCACACCGAGGACGCGGGGTCGTCGGCCGGGCCGCAGTCCCTTCAGTACGCGCCACGCAAGGAGCCCCCTCCCCCTCCCCCGCCGCGGCCCCTCAGGAACCATGCCCGCTCCAGTTCCCTGGACCTGAACCGCCTGAAGGGTCAGCCGTGTCAGTCGGCCGCTCCTCCCCCTCAGCCGCCCCCGCGGATGTCGCCCTCCGCCGTCCGCGACTACGAGCCCGACGGTTTCGGTTACAATCGCGACGACGCTCCGAAAATGCACGGCGCCTTTGAAGTGTACCGCAAGCCGTCGAGGGAGCCGTCCCGCGAGGGCGATGACCCCGACGTCCGCGCGCTCCACGAACAGAACTCCGTGCTGCACCGGGTGTGCCGCGCGCTGGCTCACGAGCTGGCGGACGCTCAGCGGGAGAAGGAGGCGCTGCGCGTGCGCCTGCAGCCGCCGCAGACCACGCCCCACACCTAGTGGCGTCACCAACCATAACCACTATATATAGAACCCTTCATCATGGCTACCGTCAGTGTCGAGTCGTGTGAGCTTGCATCAACAACGCCCCCTAGTCATGTCTGTTGACCAGCGATCTCTGTAACCGGCATCAATGTCCAAAGATATGTTTAATTTTTTTTTTTCGAATTTATATCAACGAAAAGAAAACTACGACATGATTTTGCGATGCCACGAAAATTAAAAAAAATAATAATTAAATTTTTATAAATATGATTTCGAATGCATATGTTGTTCTTAACTTTTGTATGAAATATAATCGTGCAGTACTATATAATGATAATGAGAGTAAAAATATTTCAAGATGAAATCGACGAAGTAGTTTTTCATTATATTTAATATACTAGTTGGTCAGTGTATAGAGGCTAAAGTGTTTTCATGTAAGAACTAAATATTATAGTCATTTATCGAAATGCGTTACAATTATATAATCTGGGATTCGGAAAGCCACGTTTTATAATAGCGAATAGTGGTGTAGTGTTACGATTTTAATAATATCGATTAATAATTGGTTCAATGAATAACTACCTCAAAAGAATTACATCACTATCGGCTTAGCGAGTCTTCACTGAATTTTACCATCATAAAGCCATTCAAATTATTATAATTTTTTTATTATCCTTAATTATTTAATGTAACAACTATCAATACTTTTTAATATATTCCGTTAATATATTAGGAATGTACTCAAAGCACATAGAAAATACAAAGTTATAGCATTTATGTATTTTTATATACAAATCCCGCTTTGGCATATTTAATTATAAGTAATTATTTTTATATATTAAAAAAAAATGGCGCTAGTGTTGCTTGAATCGCATTCCTCGTTTCTTTGTAAAAAAATACAATTAAATTTGTATCTAAAATATGTGAATGTTGTATATTATCTTTAGTGATAGCTTCTGTAAATGTAAAAGACTTGAAGATTTTGAGACGTGGTTTACATGGGATTTGTGATTTTTATGTAGATAGGTAATGCTTGTCATCTTCGTCGTTAAAAAATGTTGTATGAAAAAGAAAAAAACAAAAAGTTTTAATAATTATTTTGATGTGGCAACTTCATATTAATGTTAGCGGCGAGCTAGAACATATGGATAGCTTAGTCAACAAAGTGTGAAACAACTTGTATAATATAAGTTTATTATAAAAGTATTTATCGTTTTATTTTATTTGGTATTTTATAAGAATATCGTTGTTAATTTAATCTGTTGATGCTGTGTAAATATATTTTTTTTATCTAACCTGTCGCATTCTGGTATGTACTAAGCTTTACGACCTCACATATATACTTATATATATATTTCGGTCCAATTTTTTGTAAAACTAATAAAGTTCACCATTATATTTACCTATTTATGTTAAAACTATACAGTAATGCATATTATTGTAGTAAATTATGTACAATAAAATAATTTAAAAATAATTTGTATTTTATTTCATGTTAGTATATTCAATCCTTTCTCGTTTTAAACATTTTATTCAGCTTCATGTCTGTTATGCAAAATAACGCTTTCATCAAATAAAAGTAAAATAAACGGGCCTTATCAATGAATTTTATCGAAAAATCGATGTTTCGATAACGGGCAGATAAAAGTTGGTCATGTACTAAAGGCGTATACACATCGTTGAATTGTTGGTAAACCGTGGCAGTCATATTTATTTAGTGATCTTATTTTTTTCTTTTCTTAAATACAAACACATGATACAAGATGCACAAAGCACTACTATCACAGCTTTTAGGCTTTTCAACATAAAGACTATTATTGACAAAGCAGTGAAATCAGTATGTATGTCCCCTGCCTATTAGCATTATATCGAATAAAGATTTGTTGTAACTAAGATTGCAGCAAGGACGATTGTTTCAAATAACGAGACTATGATTCCAGCTACAGCTCGTAACAAATTTCCCTCCTTTTCTTTATGATACCATCGTTTACCTGCCGAAGTAAGTGTGGATCTTTTTTGTTTATTAGGAGGGAGCTCCCCCGGGCGGGTGACCGCGCGCTCGAAGTCTAAGTTCTTCACAACGTCGTAAGACGCGGCCGGTGTAGTACGTACGTCTCGTCGTGTTTGACGCGCGCGAAAACATGATCGATGCAAAACAATGAAATATTTATTGTGATATCATATAAATCAAAATGAGGTGCTTCGTTGTGTTATTTTTATCTGTGAGCCTCGCCTTCGAGACGGCGGCGGAGGCGTATGTCAGGACATGTGAACCCATTAAAGTGGCTATGTGTAAGAACATTGGATATAACCAGACTGGAATGCCGAATTTGGCTCGGCATACCCTACAAGCTGATGCCGATGTGACTCTTCAGACATTCAGCCCGTTAGTTCAGTACGGATGTTCATCACAGTTGCATTTGTTTTTATGTGCGGTTTACGTTCCAATGTGTACGGATAAAGTCGCTTTACCGATCGGGCCGTGCCGGGGTCTATGCGAGAGTGTTTACACAAGGTGTTATCCAGTATTACGGGGTTTCGGTTTCCCCTGGCCGGCTGAGTTAGATTGTTCTCTATTCCCGGCTGAAAATAATCACGAGCACATGTGCATGGAAGGTCCAGGGGAACGAGCTCCTCCCATTGGAAATATTCCTTTGGATGCAACAAATGCTGGTAGAGGCGCATGTCGAAGACTTTTGAAACCAAATAACTGGGTGTATGTTCGAGGTTCTGGACGTTGTGCACAGTTCTGTGATGCAGAAGTTTTGTGGGAGGCAGGAGAGAGGAAAGCTGCTGAAGTGTGGCTCGCGACTTGGGCGGCACTTAGCTTCGCCTGTACACTAGCAGCAGTTGGAGCTCAATTGGCGTGTGGAGATCGTGGTGGTGCTGGAGAAAGAGCCCTTGTCTTAGTAGCTCTATGCCGTTGTGCTGCTGCCGCTGGTTGGGGGGTTCGTGCTGCAGCCGGGAGAACTGCCGCTGGTTGTGCCAAGGATTCTACATCACCCACTCGAATGCTGCTAGCCCACGACGGACTGGCAAATCCTAATTGCGCTGTCGTGTTTCTATTGCTGTATTATTTCGGCTTAGCAGCATCTGTTTGGTAAGTCAAATTTATACTTTTATTACTTTTTAATACATAGTCTGTATCTTATAAAATATTTATATAGGAGACGGAAAATGGAATAAAAAAAAGTGAGAAATTATTCACAAATTTATATTGAATAGGATAACTGCCTTTGAATAAAACAAAAGATTAAAAAAATTGCAAACTGAACGATTGAAGGAGGGTTGCATCGTTACAAAAGCCTTTTAACACCTTCCTTTACCTGAGGTAACCTGCCTATTCAATTCCTGGCTCAGGTTTAACTTTTGTCGCCAATGAATGTATGTTTTGTCACCTCAAGCGACTTAAGCGCTTTATTTATTTTAGCACAAAAGAAATCTTTAACAATGGCAGTTTATAAATGTCTTCCTTGCAATTGTAGTTACATTTTCGGATCTTCCAATATATTTTTGTCAACGTTTTCATATACCAATGTACTTATAGATGTATTGTTCGGATTTAAAACGACAATTCTCTCTCAGTAACTAACATAGAAGAAATGTTTTAAAGACCCTTCCTTAGTTACTCCAACAATGTTTTTCTAATATCTAAAATACTCCTGTATTGTCTATACCCATACTACAATTGAATAATTTAAGTAAAAATATATCTTTACTTCTCACACAAGAAACGACGGACATTTGTCCGTACTTCGACAATTGTTTTCAGTCAGTTACATTATTTAAATATGAATAGTAAAGCTTAGTTTCCATAAAACGCCACTGAAGCTTGCCTTTTGTTTTCTTAGCAATAAGTCACGGTCCGTAAAGATTAAAACTAAGCAAATGACCCAACTTGTAATAGTGACGGCCATTAGATATGCTAAACATAAATTAACATACAACTCCGGTTTTTTTTACTTTGATCTTTCTCTGAGTTTTGTTATGTGAGATTATTATAACTGTCCTAGAGCGTTAGCAGTCGGTTAATGTGTCGTTTTACTTCAGTTTCTAGCATTCGTAACATTATATTTTGAGATATAAACTTTTTGACAAATTTAAAAGACAACTTATATAACCAGTACTTTAAAGAAAAAATATATTTGCTGTGGTTAAGTAGCTATGTTCTTTGTTCAATAAAATAAATACACGGTAAAATGTTATAAATAATGTATGTATGCATATATTTTTCTCTTAAATTGTTTCAGTTAAATAAATCGTGATAGCATTCTTGTATACTATTTCAACAAAGTAATGGCCACGTAAAAATGCCAATATGTAAAGACTATACAAAAACATTACTTTGCATTATTATAACATAAATACCTAAAGCACCGTTCGGTTTAATTATAAATAAAATATATGTACTATGTTTCAACATAATTATATGTTATTAGTAAAACACAATGAATATATTTAACCAAAATCCAATTTTCTATTTCAAAAACCGAAACCAGTTTGTTGTTTAAATTATGTTTTAAATGGGCTCGTTAATTTTAAAAAGCCTGACAGTTTTTACTACTGAATAATAAATTATAGGCTGTAAAAGTTAGTTATCGCGAAGAAAACCTTTTCGTTTTTGAATATATTTTCTCATACATATATTCAAGCTAAGAATATCAAGTATCATCTTGTAAACCAATCTTATATTAAATTTTGACACTAAATATAGTGGTTCTAGAGCGGTTTGGCGGCATCTGCTTTTTTAAACTCGGCTTGCGGTTACACAAAAAGTTGTCGTATTGCATTACAACATAAATATTTATTCGATTACGAGGAACCTATCGATATATATAAATATGGTTAAATCGTTTAATCGAACAATTTATATTGTTTAAATAAATAAAAAATGTTGCCATTTATATAAGTATTACTGTTTCTTCTCCAGTAATATTTTCCTCACTAATTTTCGTATACCGTAACTTTTTTCAGACCGTATTAAATGAGACATTTTCTGAAATCGTGATGACACATTAGCGAAAGTTATACCGGCTTTTAATTCGTCGTTTAATTCCTTGTTAATGATAATTAAGATAATTCACGCTTTCAGTTTCATTTTGGCAAAAAAATTTAATGTGTCGTTTAAATTTTTACCGCATTGTTTTACAACGGGATATTCGTAAGATCGACTTGCTTTTTTTACCGTCATCAATTCAGGCACCGTCCTAAAATATTCTGAATGACGTTAATAATATTTTCTATAATAACTATTTAGTGGAGACTCGTTATGATAATTTCCTATAAATTTATGTCCAGCCGGCTTTCACAGTTCTAATAGAACGTCACCGCGTCGCCTCAGACAGTTATTAATACACGAATGTGATAAATTATACCGACGCATTTAATATATCTTATTAAAAGTTATCTGATATAATTAGTTTTATTTTGCAAGCATTACATACATTCGATGAATATTTGAAACGTATTTCCCGACGATATTATTTTTTATTAATAATATTTAGAACTCATTAATTGTAAAAATATAGATAAAGAAAAAAAATATACGCTATATAAACGTCATTTTGTTGCACAGATTATAATAAAATAATATAATGACAGATTATAACAAGTCCGTAATGATGACCGTGAGGTCGCGGTATGTTCTGTGGTCGGTGTAATGAGAAACATCAAATTGGTTTCTTATCCAAGCGTCCGTGCCACAGCTATGATATCTTGAAACGCGTTTATCATTCTTCAATTCACAACTAAAACCCATTGTACATTATTTAAAATGGCTGTTTTATACATACATATATTTTTTAATACATTTAAATTAAATCGACAACTACGTATCGGCGATCATCTATTGATTTTAAATAAATAATTGTTTTTTTATATATGTCTATTGATTAAACTCTTTATATAATTCAGTGTCTAATATACAATATTATTTACTAGAAAGTACATTTTAATATCATTTAAATAAAACTATCTAGTCAGTGTGAACATACCTCAAAAGAAATAGATTCAAAACGTTTAAGCTTAGAGAATTTGAATCTCTCGTCTCGTAATAACGCCATTTGTAAATAACAGTAATTCAGTTTTCATTTTGAAAACCATAGACGGTTCCAGCAATAAAACACGCTCGGTACCATCTGTTTATAATCGTAAATATGATTGGAATTGTTTGAAGGAATGCATTCTCACATTTACAATACATTTAAAGATGATTTAACGTTTTAAAAGCCGGTGATGAACGATGTTGAGTGCAGTACAAATTTGTGTACAGTTTTGCTTCAAAGTATTTTTTGCTAATGAAAATAGAACTATTATTTATAAGTAAAATATGTTTAGATTTACGTTGTGTATGTGGTCCATATTTAAGTCGTATCAATGTTGTTTAATAATCTAAGTTTTGAATGAAAAACTTTGTATTACCAGTACTTATACTGATTACTTCGACGATGTGAATAAAAACCAATACTTTTTTGTTGTTCAGGAGATCGAAAACACTTCATTATAGCCAACTTTAAAGAGAATATAATCAAGTTTTAATCTCCATTGAGTTTATTATACAACATAGGTTATGGTGTCCATAATTTCTTGTTTATTTTATATTTTGCGGCTGCCGATGCTATCTTCACACGAACGCCCTGCCTGTAGCCGCGCTCGTTAGCAGGGCTGTCTTTAAACATATATCGATGTATTTTATAACAATAAACTAAAAAAACATCCATAATATATATAAGATTACTGATAATGATTTGAGAGACAAACAATAGTAGTAAGATGTAAAGTATTGTAAAGATAAGTGATTACGTTGAGATAGTAATGTAAAAATATCGTCAAGAATTTATAGTAAAACTATTTTTATATTATATGTAATTCTTGACATATCCAATTTACAGCAAACGTGATCTTGTAGACTAGATGAATGAATCATAGATTTATATATCTATAGATATATAGATATGAAAATCTTAGATATCATTACATTTTATAGTATTGAATTTCTTATTAAGTATCGATCATGTAACAACACTACATCCGAAGGTTCGATCCAACGCCCGCACTGTAATTGGGATGCTAATCAGATGCTGAGCTGTCTCTATCCTTATCACTCTCATGTTATGATATGACTCCATCCCTTTCCACCGAGGCCTGCATACTCTCAATCATCTGCAATAACCACTGACGTTCCCTTAGGCCTGTAATCACTGTAGTTTGCACTGGCAGAATAATTTACTCACAACAGAAAGGCCATACTAATGACGGGATCGAGAATACTTGTTTAGGTTTTAATTCATTCAGATATATCGTATTGTTCGTTGGTATTGTCTATAATTAATTATTATAACATTGTTTTTCGATACGCTATTATAATAATTTCAAAAATTATAACCTACTGTACAATATATTTTACGATACCATACTGATAGTTCCTAAATTTTTGACACGATTTTACTAACTTGAGTTGTGTTTATGTAACGGAATTTTTAAGCCTAATTCTCACCGGTTTTTAGAAGTCTGAATAATTTGAAACCTTGCATACATATCAAGGACCGTTGACAATGTAATATGTTATTTAAATTAATGAGATTCGATACAATTTCGTTTGTATTCATGAATGGTGAAGAAATTTAACCAAAGCATAATAAATCTAGCTTTTTTTTACGATCGTAATATACTATTCGGGCCCGGTCGTGTCCGCTCTCTGAATAACAAAGGAGCCGAGAAAGGATTCTGCATATCTTTTAAGGAGATCGGTACAACGAGATGCTATCTAGACGAGCTCATTATTGGAACGCCGTATTGTATGCTAAGAATTGGGATATTATGTTTAAAAAGCAACATGTAAAGACAATGTATATATAGATGGCTCTTATGTATAAGGGCCAATGTGCAAAATGACAATTTTTCAGTAGAGGTGTTTTAAGTTTGATTTCAATGTATCTTGTATATGCGACAACTGATGCTTTTAAAACTTTGCATAGCAACTATGACATATTATATACAGGAGCCATCGATATATATATGTACGAAAATGTAGTGGTTTATACAATTTGTGAGTATTTCATCAAAGAATTCTATTATTTTATACTAACTTTCCGCCCGCGT